GTCACACTCTGCTCCGGCCAGGTCCCGTGATGCTGTCTGTAACCAGTCAAGTATGCGCTTTTCAACCCATGCCAAATTCCTTGCTTCTCAAAACATACAGACATATACCACCTCACCGAGGGGGGTTATTTGGGTGCATCATGCATGGAACGGCGCATAGTTCATGCAAATGTTTTGTTAGCCTTATGAATACCCCTCACTCGCTCAGGTCTAGAGAACGCTCATATGCTAACATTTTATTGGATATCATAAACAGACAAGCCTTCTTAGCGTCCATTCCGGGTTCAAACTGTCGGAGTCAACCAAGACAATACGACTGACTACATAGAAGCCAACACCATCCCGAAGTGAGCACGGATCAACAAGGAACCAAAATCATAACTTCTCCCCTGCCGCCGCCTTCTTCTCCGCCTCAAGCTCCTTTCTCTTCTGCGCCTCCTTCATCAGCTTGAATAACCGTAAGTCGAGAGGTATCCTTTCACCCAGCCAAGTAGCACGTTGGGTGTGATTACGCTCTTCCTCGGTCTCCACCGTATTCGGATGGATCAGTGCACTCAATGGTCCCCGATTGACAACAAGCCAGGGCACAAAGGCACCAAATTGTGCAGGAGTGAAAAGGTTGACTTCGAACATGGCCACTGGATGAGGCCCTATCGGCCTGTCGAAGAACTGATAGATTCGTAACTCGGGAACTACTCAAGTCAGTAGTGTTACTACACGAGTATTAAACCGCTATTTTGGAAAGGGGATAATACTCACATTCACGCCTGATCCTCTCCCACAGGGCTCTCGCAAAAGTGACCTGATCTGGATTGTTCTTTTATGATGCAAAGTCAGCCAGGAAACTATGACGCCCAGTACACAAGTATCCACCAACCTGGAAGTGATAGATATGAATATCGAAGCCCCCGCGACGACCCTTGGTGAGAGGGTCCGGGAACTCCTCGTATGCCTTACTCAGAATCCCATGCTGGGGGTTCCTTAAGGACTTTCCATCCTCGTTTCTCTCTCTGTACCATGACACGGGTTAGGCTCAACGCGTAAAACAATATATCATTCATTCATCTATCTGAATCGGTATTTCACCTTACTTACTCAGATAGCGGTTCTAGGTTCTCATATCCCTCTAACGGCGAGGGATACGAATATGCAAATTGATCCGTCATTTGAGCTCAGGCGTCGTCGGAGGTACACAAATGAGATGTGCCTGCTCCGCGTGTGAAAGACTGATTCAAGACAGTAATCGGATCAACTGCTGCTTTAACCTGCCTTTAACCCAATCTGCAGCGTACGGTCGATAATCCTCTAACACTCTAGATGTTGTCTGATAGTAAATGCAGTAGTATTCTCAAGCAGAATGATGGTAAGAAAATCAGCTGCTATCCGAGTCCATATCCGACAGTACTACCAAGTTCCGCCATCGGATAGCGGCGACAACATATACCAATCAACTATGACCAGAAAGACCCCCAATACGTCTGTCTAATGTCTTACCAATCAAGTCTTGGACTGTGCCACAAAGAGCGTCGGGTCTTATCCACTCATTGTTACCAGCGATGAGGCCATTTTCAGGTGATTATGCAACAGTATTGCGATATTCCGCACTTATGACAAAAGTGCGGAACTAGGTGAGGGGCTTGTCTTGGCGTGTAGACCCGTTGTTTTGTGCCTGAGGAAAATAGAGTTTTATGGGGGAGCAGTATACTATGTAGAGTGCTAGGAAAAAAGAAAGAAGCGTTTATTTATGTTTCTATTCGAGGAATGTTGGGCTTTAAGTCGGCATTATTGTAAGATGCATAGCTGCTTTCACTAGAGTGGTTGGTATGCAGCTTGAGAATCCTTCGGGATTCAAATATATTTTCCTAGCGTTCTGATAAAGGCTTGGATTTATTTTAGACCACACCCCACAGCTGATTTAATCTATAGTGATTACTAGTACTACAGGCTAATTAGAGATTGGCTTTAGTACTATCAATGCTTGAAGAACAGATACAAGCTACTGGCCCGTATCAGTGGATATCATTGTAAGAAAGTAATCTATATAACGCCAGGGAGCTGTGATTCACAATATGATAGATATGTAAAGACCCCCAAGATCAACTGATATCACCAGGAAGCTTTAACGTCAATATGCCCATCCTGATCAACAAACTTGCCCCGATCCCACTCTCGCCCCTCACCCTTCTTAGACCACTTCACATCCTTTAGCCTGCCTTCTGAGTCATCCCCTGGCGTGGAGGTAGTGTTGCTCTTCCAACGGTCCACAAATTCGTTACTGAAGCCAGCTTCCCGCAACCTCTCTTCGCCCCTCTGCTTCCATTTTGCCCGATCACGCAACGCCTCCAGAGAAAGTTCCCAGTCGTCATCTCCAGTCATTAGACCAGCGACAGGACGGCGGGTAGGCCTGCTACCTGCCTGCCCATCATCATCCTCCAAATGTACATCCGTAGTGGGGTCGTAGTCAGGGGCAAAGTGTGCATCGATGTTGCTCATGTTGGGTTTGTAGGCACCGCGACCGCGGGAACGAATGGGCGCTGAATACCCATGATCGTTATCTTTCGCCGGTAGGGGTCCGACAAGGTCTTCAAGAGGATCCGACTCATCATCCAAAGGCGTTTCCTCCTTGAATTGTGCATGAGTAAACGTTTGTTCTTTACTTGTCGATGTACTATTTCTTCTAGACAGTTCCTTATCACGAGAACTGCGGTGACCCCTGCGCTCGCTATCTCTAGTCCTGCGCCTGTCAGATGTTCCTGGGGACCGCGAACGTGATCGTGACGACTCATGGCGGTTGCGATATCGTCGGCGATGGCTGCGAGAATCAACATCCCGGCCGTGTTCCGGGGATCGACTCCCTGAACGAGAATCAGATCGGTGGCGACGACTCCTTCTCGAGGATCTATGCCGGTCGTCATCGGTATGTTGAGGGTCACGCCTCCGTCGGCTCCTATGCGATTGACCTCTCTCCTCCGATGCAGAGCGACTCCTATGTTTCCTTCGACTAGAGCCATATTTGTCCTCACGATCCCGTCTTCTATCGCGTCGCGACTCTCGATCGGTTGACGTACGCCGACTGCGACGTTGGTCGCGATTCGTATCGTTCGCTGAAGAGGATGACGCCTGGTTCCGCAACTGTCGCATTCGCTCCCTGGCCTCCCGTTCTTCTTTCCGTTTCAATGCTGTATTGTGATTGTCCGTCTCTCGGATTATATGTCGGAGGAATCGTGTGTTCGGTTTAGGAGCGGCGCCTGTAGGCCTGCAGCAATAAATTGTCAGCTCAATGATCGTCGTAAAGTATTCGCCAGAGAAAGTATATACCTTTTGGGCATGTATGCTTCCAATCCATGTGCCGAGTATTTCAGGGAGCTATCCCGTGCCTCTCGCGCGAGCACCTGTGCAACGTAGGCATCGTCGCTGGGGTCGCCGATTGCTTTTCCGGTGTTGGGAGGCATGCTGTCGGACCGTGGGACTGGAGCAAAGGTGGGAGAATAGAAGTAGGGAAGTTAAAATATATATATCATATTAATATATAACGCCCATCCGGTAATTGTATCATCCAATCCGAAAGTGAATATATAGAGAGAAAGGAAAGCGCGGCCAAGTCTACAAATGTGGGAGGCAAGAGCCATACATGCGGCGATATTGACGCTGCTGACCGGTGACTTCACCGCCCGGCTGATAAAGTGGTGGGTCCGATGAATCTGTTTACCTCCGCAATGTTTCTGCCGACGCGCGATAATGAATGGTTTTTGCCTTCACCCCTCATCCCATTGATTCGAAGACGCGATAGATCCACCCTTACACTGCCATTGCTATTGACTATATTGGGTTATTGAGGGATTTTACAGATTTATTAAGGATACAATGGCCAGTTTAACACCCGCAGAAGCACGAAAGCAACTGCAGCAACTAGCAGACGACAATGGCGACTTGAAAACACAATTGAACATCCTCCGCATCAGCGAGCCGATCTTCTCCCCTGACTCTGATACCAGGCGCTCATCACCATCTAAACGTAGGTCGGATGTATCTACCTTTGAAACACCGACACCTGCTTCCTTGGAAGCGGACTTAACACACTATAAAGTATGAACAAATTTTCCCGAAGTGGGGTCGCTCTATAAGACCACCTATTCGTGCTGACAATACGGGAAAGGAATTGTTCTCGAAGTTACGCTTTTCCTACGTTGAGCAAGTTACGAAGGAGAAATTTCTGCGTGCGATTGTGGGCGATCCGCCCCTGGTGGTCGGTCACAATGAAAATGTTGAGATGGAAGCGCAGTTGGCGGAAGTAAAGGCGGACCTCAAGGCTCGCAAAGAAGAAGTCCGAACTATGGTGGAGGAGATGGAGAAGCTGGGTAGGGATCTGGCGAATCGTGAGTACTCTCTTGTCTTCTGTACAGTAATGACTTATGTCCGTGGAGCTTCGCTTCGTGACCAAGGACTGTCCTAACGATGGAAAATCCTTAAACAGGTTACAAGAATGTCCAGCTACAAATGACCCAACTCTCAACGCTTCCAGAGTCGATTGAAAACCTCGAATCCACTGTTGCCGAGCTACGTGCAAAACAAGGGTCAGACGCAAACGGCCCAGAATCGCAAAACCTCCCCCTCCCTGCAACGCTGAGTCTCCTGTCTGAGCGGGAGGCGGAGCTTGCGGCTCTTGATCGACAACTTGCTGCGGTGCAGAATACCCTGCCCCGCAAGACACGAGAGGCCGAGGCGGTGGAGCGTGAATTGGGTGTTCTAGAACGGCGGAAGACAGAAGCGATCGCACAGGCCCAAGAGGTTAAGAGAAAGAAGGAGGAAGGCGAAAGTGACGGGCTGGTGGAGACGGGAAGATGGTACCGGAGCGCGCAAGAAACTCTCAAAAACCTTCTAGGTGTTACATTATGAGGGCACTAGGCGTAGGCATGATTTGACGATACTGGGTCTGGGGACATGGCGTTTGCAGTGGATAAGCCATACATGATTACTTCGGGGTTCAGTGCTCAGGGATTACTACGACTAGGGAACCAAATGGTATGGGAATCGAGCCGTAGGCTACTAGTTCATTAATGGAATCGCATGATCGTACAACGTTATACGCTATGCTGCAGCCATAACGGAGCCCCGTGATTTTATTTTGGCTAACGAAACCCGTCCGTACTCCAATTTTTAATCCTTTACTCCTCGTCCTCCTCAGCCTCGTCGTCACCACCACCGGCAGCAGCGGCAGCCTTCTTGCGCTGGACACGGCCAGGGCGGCCACCACCGTAGGGGGAGGTAAGGGCGAAGTCGATGTGCTTCTGGGAGTCCAGGCGGACCATGTAGGAGGGGACGTTGACGATCTGCTTGCCGACACTATTTTGAGGGTTAGTAACTTGGCGTCGTTGTGCGAGGGAGTTATCGGTTGCGCATACCGGATGTGACGCTGCTTGATCAGGACACGGGCGTGGTGGATGGACTTGGCAAGACCGAGCTTGTAGACGCAAGTCTGAAGACGACGCTCCAAGAAGTCCTCAACGCGGAGGGCCAGGACGTAATCGAGCTTCATGCGAGACTCATCGAGGACACCGATGCGGACCAGACGGCGAATCAAAGCGTTACCTTCGAAAAGACGCTTGGGGTCCTTCTCGTCGAGGGTGAGAAGCTCACTGTTCCAACAGTCAGCCATTGTTCCATCACTTTCTCTCGGCCATTCTCATAGTCGATGATCATGCGAAGTGGGGTGCGCATACCGAGCAGCACGACGAATCTTGGACAGGGTGAGCTGGACACGCCACACCTCACGCTTGTTGCGCAGGCCGTACTCGCCGACAATCTTCAGTTCCGAGTCACTAGCGATGACAGTTAGGCATGGGAACACACGACTTAAACAGAAGCACGCTTCTGATCAGTGGCCGGAGAGTACTAACAGACGGGCCGACTCGAAAGCTATATCAACATGTTAGTATAAATTCCATGTCGCAAAGTTATCGAATTTTTGCAAAGACTGATAAGGCTACTTACGACGACGGGGGACCTTGTAGGTCTTGGAGTAAACGCGGCTATTGAGAAAATTGCCATTAGAATGATGCGATACAGGTGTAGCTGATCGCTGGTCGTATACTCACGGGACGGGGGCCATGACTGCTGATTTCGGCTTGTCGCGAGGTTGTCGTACACACCAAACTTCACGAAAATCGCGGAAGATCTGAAGTTGAAGATGCGTTTTGGAGAAGGGAACTAAGCGAGCGAAGGTGGAGCCGGAAGCGGACTAGCGCAAGGGCTAGCCCTCGGCGGCGGAGAACGGCCGCACTAAGCACCCGAGAAGTCTACACCATCGCGAAGGGCGGCATAGCGAGGCATTTCTTCGACGTCGACAAGTTCTCAACACCAGCACCACCAACACCGCCGACATGGGTCACTCGCACGGTTTGAGAGCCGGTACTCGGGTATGTCGATTTTACCCAGGAAATTTTGCAGCACCATTTCGCTGGCCCGAAACGCGACCGCTGACGAACTTTTCAGTATGCCTTCAGCCGTAACTTCAAGGAGAACGGCCAGATTCGCCTGTCGACCTACCTGAAGACCTACCGGTACGCCGAAAATTCTCGCCGATTTGGATAATATTTGCGTGAAGGAGCAGGATCTGATATTTTTCTTAGGGTTGGCGACATTGTCGATATCAAGGTCAACGGTGCCGTTCAGAAGGGGTCAGTACAAATTCCGCCCGGTTGAGATTTATGGGGATTCCGACATGAAGGGTTTTGCGTGTTGGGATGCTCGAAAACATTGAACGAATAATTGGTTTGCTGAGACATTTGGAAATAGTATGCCCTACAAGGTCTACAACGGTAAGACCGGTGTCGTCTACAACGTGACCAAGTCCTCCGTCGGTGTCCTCCTCTACAAGGTCGTCCGCAACCGCTACCTCGAGAAGCGCATCAACGTCCGCATCGAGCACGTCAAGCACTCCCGCTCCCGTGAGGACTTCATCAAGCGTGTCAAGGAGAACGCCCAGAAGAAGCGCCAGGCTAAGGAGCAGGGTGTCCACCTCCACCTGAAGCGTCAGCCCCTCATGCCCCGTGAGGCTCACCTCGTCGAGGGTACCGCTGCCGAGACCATCACCCCCATCCCCTACGACACCCACATCTAAACGAATCAAAAACGGTCGATGCGGTTGTTTGGTGTTTCTGGGTTTTTCAAACTTAGGGTGGGCCTTTGCAATGAGACGAAGCGAAACAGAGGGTTCCCAGATGTTCTATCACATCTAAATCCTGTGCATAGATTCCCCGGAATGAAAGAAAAAACAAAATTTCCATTTCCCTGTTCGAAAAATGATATCCATGCGTTTTGCCAAATACCGAAAAATCCGCGAATATGGCTTCTACGACACAACACTAGACTTGATAAACCCAGCACCTTCTCTCAACCTTTGAAACCCGCCACTCGATCCTTTCAACCTTACCACACGGTATCTACGGTACGCAACTGTATGCCGGGGACGACGGCAGTGACGTATGAAGTAGTTTTGGCCCTCTTCGAGTTCAGGCCTGGGACGTTAGATGTAGCCTGCCTATTCGAAAGCCGTATCGGACATGTAGACGTAGGGCTGATTTACTATATTTACTGTATCTTTGGATGGTACCCATCTTTGTTCGATTCCCCGCTGTGGATATAGTATTCAAGTGCTATTCTCAGCCTCCGCCCGATGAAGGCTGTCCCCCATCGCTCTTCACTTGTTATATGTAGATTAGTTCTCCATCCCCAGTGATTTACCCTTATCGGGTTATCGGTGACGTGCAGGCCAGATTCAATGTCTATACTAGATCCTACCTTGCGCCTTAAATCTATCATACTAGTGATACATCGTCGACTGCTACTAGGATGGCGAGTGAAATATATACGTTTAGTAACTTGAAGTTACTTGTTCGAGTCTATGAATCCTCCCCTACTCCTTCTAACGGGTCTCCTATTCCACAGAGAAATGTTCCCTTGGCAAGGCTACCATTGCACTACTAGATCAGACGTCGCTAACGGTGAAGTGCTCAAAACCAATTCAACCCAGCTTGCTAAGATCGACTGTCGCTTTCATCAGGCGAACAGCTATAACCATTCGTGATTGTGTGCTTTCATGAACGATGTGCCCAGAAAATCCCCGGAAGTTGTTAGCCACAGCATACGCAGTGGCAAATTGTATTAGGTATTCAAGACGCTATGCTTTGTGCCCGGATTCCAGGTTTCGACATGTGCTAGTCGATTTGCCATCAGGCAGCGCTGACGGATTAAGCAGAGACCATCAGTTAGCACCGTGAGTTACTTAGTCGGACAACATGATTCCAAACATACTAGCAACCCTAGCGGCGCATGGGCAAGCCTGTTCGCGTGCAAATGGGCCAGGTAAGGCCAAAGTCTGATCACCTGTCTCGGAGTCATAGCGCACATGGGCAACAGATTTGTTGGGAGTCAGAGGCGCCCGCTTTAGTGACCCGGCTAAGACACAGACGAGTATATGTGGAAAGGATGTAGCATCTCCAATAAGAAGACCTGTTTGTAGATGCTGACTATTTAGTTCAAAGGACACGATATTAGTCAGGTCCGGATCGATCAATGTATTCCGTAGGGTTCCTATAAATGATTAGTAGGATAGGCCGCAATTTGGGTAGTCCGCAGTAGCCTGTGGTGCCTGCATTGTTAGTGCCCCTTTGACCATGTCGATGCTACCATAGTCACCAGATCCGGTGGTGAAGTTAAGCCAGGAAGACTTAACAGTCAATTTGTACACCATGAAACTTTTTGCCAGCTTCCTTCTTGGAGCTGGTCGAAAACAGTAGCATTTTCCTTGCTGAGGCAGGAAGCTAGTACCCCGGGAATGCGGTCCGGTGCCGTTTCGGCAGGTCGATACACCTGTCAATGGAGGGTCTCCGAAACAGTAGAAAGTAATTTTCAGTAAGAGTGAATAACAGCACCAGTGAATAGGAAAGGAGTTAATGGGGACCCCTAAAAATAAGTTGGTCCTTTTTTTCCTTCCCCCTTCTCCAGGGGGGTGTGGGCAAGGTTGAATCGGCCCAGGAGCAAAGCACAGCAGCAGTTCGGTTCGCGAAGAGAGTAAGTAAATCCAGCGCGGCTCCAGCCACAGGGTTTGCGGGAGGCCAGCGCGCTAACCGAAAGCAGCCCGCCTTAGTGCCTCAACCTGAACCGTCAAGTCATCGTCCATGACTGCAGCCATCACCCGATCACCATCCCGAGAAGCACCACCTCCTTCGTCACGAACCTCCCTTTCGGGACTCTCTCTCTGGGCAGCGGCCTTCTACCATAATACTGCCAGCCTTCTCACGCCCCCGCCCTTCTGCCTCGACATTCACTTGGTTACCAGCCTCCTAACACTGGTCCCCTCTCCGCCGTCCACCTGGTCGTTCGGAGCTTTTACGGCTCAAGTAGTTGAGCTTACAGTTCAACCGTGGCGATTCTTGATACCTGACCATAGGTATATTCTCAGCCCGTCCCTTCTCATGCATTCATAAGTTCAGGATTACAGTCGCCACTTGTTTCCGTGTTTACAGTTTCAGAACATTTGTCTAACAGATGTCGCAACCTGTTGGCCTCACAGACTCAAGAATTGTTATGGCAGAGCAGAGCAGCCACGATGTGGTAGACCAAACCCTGTCGGGCGGCGATCCTTCGCCTTCCGACGTTCCTGCGAGCACCACCGACAAGAGATCTGCTGGAGGGGACGCGGGGGAGTTTAAAGACACCGCTACAACAACACAACCGGAGACGAACGCGAGTGACAAACAGGGTGAACAAGGAACGGGAACTACCGAAAAGTCAGAGCGAGAAAACAAAACAAAAGATACCGATCAGACGCCGAGCGTGAGTGATGCCGACAACGACCTCGCAACATACCTACTGAACCCGACGCAGAATACCCCAAAGTCTGGTCCTTTGCCGGTCGCCGCACGGGCGCTCGAGATGAATGGAGTAACGTCTGGGTCAGATGCTGGGGAGGACACAGCGTCTCAGGGAGGTTCAGAGTCCGATGCCAGTCGAACAGAGGGCAGGCTCCGTGCCGGCTCGAAGAAGCCAACCTCCTTCAAGCCGGTTACATTTGCCAAGTTTTCTGTTCCCAAGGCGCCGGGAACTCCCCCGATAACAAAGGCTTCTGAGAAAGGTATTTTACATTCACGTGTAATACAGAGGAATTAAGTCTGATTCACTACAGCCCCTATGACTTCCACTACCCCCCTGGGGACGCCGCCGCCAACCTCCCGTCCTCGCTTGGTCGTCAAGACTACTAGCAGCCTACGCGACTCGTTATCGAAAATGGGAACAGGTGCAGCCAAACCCGGTGGAGTTGGACCGGATCCGAACCAAGTTTGGAATAGGAATCGGCGTAAGACTACAAACCTTCCACTTAACTGAGATGTGCTTCTGACCATCTTGTCCTTGCAGCCGTCCAGCAAACGCCTCCCAAGCACTTGACCGACGAAGAGTTGAAACAACAGTACGGCATCCATATGACCTCAAGGATACAGGAAGACGGCGGGGGAAGCGAAGCGAAATGGGCAGACATAGATGACGACGAGGATGATTGGGCTCCTGAGACGATTGAGTGGACTGATGGCACGAAAACCAACCTCACCAACCAAGAGCCTGCGCCATCCGCTCCAGTACCCGGCCAAGACACGGTGGCAGATGATTTCAAAAGGGAGTTTCCTCCAGTTGAGCAAGCAGCAGCAAGCATCAAGGAAGCGCCAAAGTTCATACCGAAACCTACGACGTCTATTGGGCCAAATCCCACGGTGCTTCGACTCGGAGCAAATGCAGAAAGACAAGCAAAGAATGCCGGTCTTGCTGCAAAGGGACTGAATGACAAATCTCCTCTACTATCCACAAGTCCGGCCCCTCCGCCCGTCAAGTCGCCTTGGGCACCTCTGCCACCGGTTGAAAAAATCTCACCTGTTATTCCTCCAATCCAGGTTCAACCGCCGATGCGGGCTCCTGCTCGGGAACCTTACCCGACTGACGGTTCCGGTGGTCCCTTTCCTCCGAAGGAAATTGCTGCAGACGATTTCAACCGATCTTGGAAGGAGATGCAGTCTGGGACCCGGGAGCTCTACAATTCTCGATCTGGTCGCTATGAGCCTGCTCCTGACACGAGGAAGGGGCCTTGGCGCGCTGAACAGAGTTACCGTACCCCTGCCCTGTTGCAGAGGCCTGCCCAAGGTGAACAAAGTGGACCAGCAGAGCCCTCAGCCGCTTTCCAGACACACCGATCGAGTGGTCAAGATGGTATGCACTGGACACGGCGTCGGACATCGTCTAATGTGAGCGGGGGAAGTGGCAGCTTTGGGCGTCGGATGTCGATTGGTAGACCCGATGTGCCCCAGAAAGTGTTCGAATCTAGGAGGGGATCACAGGTAAACGGAATGATCGAAGCGGCCATCCCTCCTAGAGATATGCCACCTCCCAAGGAAGCTTCCCAACGCGAGATATCGCCTTCCCGACGTGGTCCTGGTCCTTGGCCTTCAAGAGGTGCTGCAAATGTGCAAGACAGAATAGCCAATGTACCGGGCGGGACAGCACAGCCACCCACTGCCCCGACAGTGGAAGAGCAGCCAGCAGTGCTCCAACCGCCTCAGGAAGACCCTGTCGCTATGCAAGAACGCATCATGAAGGAAAAGAGGATGGAAGCTAGGCAGCGGAGAATAGAGCAGGAGGAGCGGGAAGAGGCTGCGAAGCGTGAAAGGATCCGGCAGAAGCTCGAGGCGCTTGGTCCTCCGCCCGAAAAGCCAAAATCAAGGCGTAAGGAGTCCATTGATGCCGGTAAGCCCGAGGCAAGCATCGCGCAGGCTACCGCGCAAGCGGCCCATTCTCCTCCGAAACCTCCAGTACCTGAACCGAGCGGGGAGCCGAAGCAATATGGAATGATGAAGGTCCACCATCCAGACACTGTGAAGAAGCTTGTGGATAGGGAAAGGGGCAATACGGATAAAGCACCACCGGTTGCTACTGCGCGACGCACATCTTCGCCGGCGCGTGAGCCCAAGCAAGAGACTAGCCTGCCGAACGGATCTCAGCAACCTGTTGTTGCTGAAACATCAAGCTCAGATAACTTGCCGGATACCAAGGTCGACGAACAAAGTTCCCAGTGGAGAGGCAATCTTACTACCCCCAACACCTATCTGCCTTGGTCCCCGAATCCAAAATTTGTGGGACCGGCACCTCCTGCCATCTCAAATCCTTGGAAGCCTCTTAGCAATGACAAGACGCTAGGCAACGGTATCTTTGAGCAAAGCCTAGGGGGCTTCCCTGGGAGAGATATCTCCATACGTAGCCATCTAGGTCTTGACCAGCCACCCATGGCCCCGGCGACTCAGCCCTTCTCCGCTCCTTCGCGATCTCCACAGGATGGGGTATCTATCTCTCCGTTACCGTCCCCGGAAGCTAGGCATGTTCCTTATGACAACATTAACCCTATGCTGCGTCCCGGGCCTATTGGACCACCAAGCTTGCAGCACTCGCACCGGCAACAACAGACAGTGGCCTGGAACAATTTCCATGCAGTCGCTGCCAAACGTGAGGCAGAGGAGAACGAGAGGCTTCGTAACGAGTATGATTCGATGCGTGAGGGACCATCTTCTTCACTCCCTGTTACCTTCAACGAAACCTGGAAGCAGGTCCGGACCGGTGACCAGGCTGGACAGAGGCAAGTTGTCGGAATCACTAAGTCAGCAGACAACAACGCGCCTCTGCCGAATCCTCTCCCTGGTTTTGATCCCACTGTCAGCTCTTTGCCTTTCACTGAGACTCCTGCTCGTCCTCTCGGCAGCGTTCCGGTTCGAAGTTCACGATTCTTCCCTCAAGCAACGGAGCATCTGAGGAAGCCGGCGAATGACGAGGGTGATTATTTCCGGAGTATTTCGCCGCCTCCACCTGAAGAGATGTCAAGCCACCCAGTTTATACTGGTGCGTCGAACAGGCCCCTGGTCCATCTTCCTGCGCCGAAACCCATTGTCAAACTTCCTCCTAAAGTCGTAACTCCGCCGCCACCGCCTCCCACCTTTGCCTCGATGGTTGCTGCCCCTCCGCGTCCAGCTACATCCTGGCAGGAGAAAATAAACACTCTCTTTGGCAAGAAGACGATACCCGAAAAGAGAAATGCGCTGGCGGTCACATCAGCGACCAAAGAACCTCTCGATGTTCAGTTGCATATTGCTTCAGTCTCAGTCTCCTTTCCTTGCAACGGCGAGCTTCATGTCGGAGATGGTGAAGTAAGTGCGAAGCAAGTTGAAGAAGCTGAGGAGATTTTCGAGGATCGTGAAGTAGGGTCTCTACCAGTCGTCAGAGTCCCAACCAGAGCGCCTCCAGCGGCATGGCAGGCTGCGCGAGCACCTTCGCAGTCCCGGTTGCGGTCCAAGCACTTGAAGTCGATGCAAATTCTCAGCGTTGAGCCTTTCTTCGTTGGATATAACGATAGGGATTCCGCCGGAAACACAAAGGTTTCGATCCGCTTCCCCGGTGCGGCCCTGGCAAAGACCCTGACCCTCCCTCGAAAGGCAGGGGCAAATAACCCTCGCCCACGCGGCCCTTCAGGCTATAACAAACCTCGAAAGACTACAAAGCCGCGCGAGGGAAACACCTCACAAGCAAAGAAGCCTGCCACGTCCCAAACTAATGGCAGCAGCTCTCCGCGACGTCAGTCCCGGACTGCATCCTGGGGACCCCGTACTCTTAGCGGATCCCAGTGAAGTCAATCGTTCTTTTCCATGCGGAGTGGAGTCTCATGATTCGAGTTTCAGCTGTTAGCCTTGTGTTGGCTTTTGCCGGGTTTCAGAAATTCATTGAGCGTTACATTTCGGTAATGATTAGCTACGCTTGCGAGGGAATCCGATGGATTTGGGTTTGGTTTGAAATTTTTCAGTATTCCTTTAATGTTTCTTCGCTTGCCGTGCCATATTCCCTGCGTGCGCATATTGTCAACGCCTCCCCCTCTTCACAAAGTAACATACGCCATGAGTTGAGCGGGACGATTGCTACCAGATTTTATACAAACTCTCATCACACGCTACTACCATGTTCGATGCTTCCTTCTATCTCTGTCTTCGCGGGGGTTACCCAACCCATGTCACGTCTTTCCGAATCCCCCCACAACATTTCATCTGCTCGTACCCCGTCATCCTTACCTCCTTTCTCGAAACTTGACCTCCCAAATTCCGCACGTACGGTGCTGTATCATGATCAATGCAGTTCACTCACACAACCCTTCCTCCCCTCCTACTCTCTCATCTTACGCAACCCCCTTTATCCATCTTCCTGTCGCTTTCACCTGCTCCGTCGATAGTACATCGTCGTCGTTGAGCCATTTGGATCCCCCTTTCTTTTTTCTATAGCTTGTGGAACCGGAGCCAAGATTCTGGGAAAGGGTAAATGGTACGGGAGCTTTGTGTTAACGTGCAGAACCGTGTATCTAGCATTTGTTCTGAGGTGTGCATTCGAATACTTTAAAGTTATATGTTGTTCTTTAAGGTAGATGTAGCTGTAATTCGTAGGCACTATGATGGCCTGTCTGATCATGGTGTGAACTGCAGCATCAGCTGGAAAGGAATGAAGTGCTATGTCATTCACAATGTTTGCCGGCACTTGTACAGCATTACGCCATCCTGGATACTACCATTTACTGAATTTTGGGCATTCATAGTTATATAAGATAGTAGTAACTGACTAATAAGAATAAATTCCACAACACCAACCCTGCTAACGCTAAATATAACCATCCATCCCATGCTAAACCACAAAACTCCCCCTGCAAGGCACTAAGTAATAGTAATCTAATTTACAAAATATCCATACACCCCAGGAAAGAAAAAGGAACAAGACCTCCAAAATCAGCAACAAGCATACATAAACACATACATTACACCACCGACTCCATATATTAGGGTATCAATCAATCTCCCCCGGCTTCCCCGCTCCCGTCAAATAGCTTTTTGTATCATTTAGGTAACCCTACCAATTCCAGGTACGGGATGAAGCAGTGAAGACGGGCGGTTTCCATTGCAGCCGGGCGGGATCGATCTTGCGAACGCCCTTGATTTTCTCCTTCTCCAGGCGCTTCTTGTGCTCTTCGACGACTTGGTCGGTTAGGACTATGACCCAGTTTCCTTTCTATATTGTAATGATTAGTTAGTAGCTGTATCTTTCAGGGTAACTGATAGTTGGGGGGGGGGGGGAACGTACATGGTAACGGAGCATGTTGAACACAACCAAAGTCTCGTGGACGTCTTTCTCCGTCATGGAAGTCAGCATTGAGAGGTCGTGCTCGCTGACGGATTCCCGGCCGGTTTCTAAGAGCAGTTCCACGAGGGTTTCTCGCCAGTATTGTCGGTAACTGAGGAGACCGAGATCACTGAGAGGCTTTTCGGGCGATCCGAGCTTTCCTTCGCGCTTGCCGAGCTCGTAGCTGAAGGAGATGAGGAGACGGCCGTACCCGCGGCGTTGGTATTGAGGGAGGGTTAAGATACAGGCCAGGTTGTAGCCTTCCGCGGAGTCTTTTTCCTTGGAGAAATAGCCGACGAGATGGCAGCCTGTTTCATCTCGACTGCACATGCAGTAGAAGAGGAAGGGGTCGACGTCGTAGTACAGTGTTTTGTGGTCGAGGAAGAGTTTGCTCAGCAGACAGAGGTTGCGACACCAGGTTCGTTGGCGGCGGCCGTCGACTTCGAAGAATGAAATGTAGTCGTCCCGGTAGATTTCGTTTCCGGGCGGGTGCACGAGGGTGCATTTGGAACGGTGACGCTCGAAGGCACGCTTGTTGTCGAAATATCCCAGACAGAACTCGTCAATGTATACGACGTCTGCGTCGGAGAACGATGCCGGGTATGGTGAGAAGTACCAGGGCTCGATGTCGTATTTGCCCATTTGGAGACGGGTCAAGTTTCGCACGCGGTGAATCTCTGTTGGGTTCTGGGTCATACTACCGCTAGTACGTAGGCGTTCGATTTCTTCTTCGCGCGACATGAGACCTAGTGCTTTCGCTTCTTCTTTTTCATCTTTGGAAAAGCCGACATCGATCATGTCGACATCATCCGAGTCGGGCTTGGGGGTTCCATCTGCGGAGACAGCTTCTGAACCTCCGATGGAGAGGTTCACGGGGGTCTCGTCGCGGTTCTCTTTGCCGCCCGCTTTGGACGGACGCTGGGCTTTGCCAACATTGGTGTTCTTTCCCGTCAGAAGATCAGGCGTTGCTGATACATCCCGGCTTTCGGCTCTAGCACGCTTCTGGGCGTTCTTACTAGGTGCCTTGTTGCCGGGTCCGGTCTTCTTCTTCTCCGGTTTCTCTGGCTGAGGCCATTCGACCTCATGTGACAGGTCTATTCTTCCGGAATCAATCCATTCTAGATGCAAAGTGAGTATGAGTAGCATGGTTGATCAATCAATAAAGCCCGACTTACCATCAAGACGCTTGTTGAAGTCGACATAGTGGACGCTGAGGTTGTCAGTACAAACATCACAACACTTCAAGAGGGACATGAAACATACTAGAAAGAAGGACCATCTTTCCGCTGCTTTATCGAAAGAATTTCCGCTTTTCGTAGTTCTCCATCCTACACAGACAGACCAGTCAGTGATTATTCCGATATAGGAAATCGACCCCCGTATAGAGATGGGTATCATGTGACTTCCACGGCCGCACCGCAAAAGATCACGACGAACAAACTGACCTTCTGCACCATGGCCTTGACACCGATCCTATCGCCATGATTAGTTCATGCGACCGAGGAAACCAGGGCCATAAAGCCCAAGACTTAATTCAAAAAAATATTTCTTCGACTTACCGGATGGTATTGAGGGTGGCGAACCCCTTCTCGACGGGGTCCGGGGTCCCGGTGGCCTCGTCCCTGCCGCCCATATTGAAGAAGGGGTGATACTCAGTGTATCTATAGAGGTTTATTAGATGAAATCGCTATGTGGAGCGGATTGCGCGATGGAAACGCAAAAGGGGATCGTAGGAGGTGATGGAGGATTCTCCGTTGCGATGCACCGGAAGAGACCGCCTTAGATTTTTGCCATCCGCTTTTGGTCATCCATCCATCCCCAGCTGCGCCGGTTACTTGGATGGATCCCTCGGGTTTGTGCTGCTGCAGTGGTAATGGTCTATATCGCCCTATTTACCATGGCACTGCTTGCGAGTTGAGGTGTCTGGATTGTAATCGGCTAAAATACTAATATAAAGTATTAAGGATCTGTTTAAATTGGTTCTTACCATTGAAGAGGAAATGCATACTACTACTATATAGCTTCAGTATATTTATCCGCTAAATAGTACAACCATGTGAGTGCGATCGCAATAGCATCAATACTAGTACTAGCAATGTCGGAGCACGCACCCAGTAACTAAGCCAGCAGAGCACGCCGAAAGTCTCCAGTAGTAGATAGGGAAGTATAAATACATTTCGAGCTGCAGAAATGCAGGTTCAAATTCAAGCTAGGTATCTGTTTTAAACCACTCAATGCCACCCATTAACCATCCCCCCTGTTCCTGCCACGAGCTCATCAAGCTCGTCTTTCCGGGTCCTATACAGGTCTTGAGCTTCCCGCTCTCTGCGCATCACGAATGCCACATCGTCTCTCAATTTCTCAAGTCTCCGTGAGAGAGCGGATTGTTCCGAGATCTGCAGAGTACGGAAGGCATCCAGCTCATCCGTCGTCTTCTCTAGGGCTGTGTGGGCTTCCACTATCTTAGTTCGGAGCATCTTCGCTCGGTTCTGATAGCCTCCGTAATGTAAAGCGAGCTTCTTCTCCAGCTTGTTGCCCCGTTCTGCCGTGGCCAGCAGAGAGTTTTGTACATTGTCAAAAGCTGCAATCATCCGCTGTTCTTGCTGGTATACATCCTCCTCTTCATCGTCAGCGTAGTTAGAAAGCCCTGGTAGCGCGCTGGAATGTTTTGTAGTCCACTGCTCGTCGAAGTTTTCCTGCCACTCCTGCTGCTTTTCGGATGTGGCGGCTTCCGCTGCAATAGCCGCACGGGCTTGCTCCATGAAGCTGTCATCTAATTGCTCCAGCTTGCGAGCTTTGCCCTCCACTTTAGCACCGGGGGTGGGGAATTTGCGGGCGTCGTGCGCAATGAGAAGAGCGGCTTCCTTCGCGACAAGACTGGCGATAGGATCCGTGATGTGAGACACCCGTTCCATCATCGCATCGATATCAAGTACACTCGGCCGAGGTAAGGATCGCTGGTACACCTGTGATTGACGCTTGAACTCGGCCGCTGCGGCGCGCTCTCGAGCCTCTTTCTCCCTTCTATCGCGCTCGGCGGAATCCTCTTCCACGTACTCAGCAGCAGCCGTTGGTTCCGTAGATTCGGAAGGAAGCTCTTCCAGCTCCCATTCCGTTTCTTTGGGCTTTGGCAGGGCTGCCAGCTTGCTGCGGATGCTTTGACGCATGAAATTCTCGTGCATCTTGATGTCTCTGGGGGTACTTCCAATCAGCTGCCCACCTTCTGCCTGGTTCAGAGCGAAGTGATCCCGAGGGGTCCGCAAGGGAGTGGCACCAGCACCAACACCACCTCTCATAGGGGTTGCACCGACGCCATTGGCTTGCCTAAATGGTGTTGCCATCGGGTTGGGCGTAACAATCTGCTGACGACGCGGAGCGATTCCATCAAATCCAGTGGAAGACCCTCCCTCATGCAGAGGAGTGTTCTCGCCTCCCAATAACGATGATTGGGTCTCGGTCAAAGCTCTGATGTTGCGGATTTCGTTCGCGATGTGATCTTCCTCTGGCGGCGCGCGAGGTGTTCTGATGGGAGTTCCACCGACAATGCCAGTATAGTTTCCGACCAGACCACGAGCCCCTTCTTCGTCTCCCGCCATTTTACTGGCTCTATCACCTGCCATACCCATCTTAATGATGTCTTCCATTTCACCTTCGCTGACCTGAGGGGCCGGGAGGACAAGGGATCTTCGCTTGCTGCTTTGCTCCGCCTCGCGGATCTTCTGCATCTGGCCGGCACGAGCAGCAGCGGCGAACGCCGCGGAGTTGCCACTCTTGTCATTCTTCCTCTTCTTCCGCTCCGCCTCGTCATCCTGATCTCCCTTCCGCTTGTTGGCGAGCTGCTGTTTGCGAGGATCGAACATCTCACGTTGCCTCTCATTGCGGGCTTCTTCGTCCATGGTATCGTAAAATCCGGGGGCTGCTGGCTTTTCGAATGGGATGTCGGCGTTATAATCCATTTCACCCTGCTTGCGGGTAACGACCTTGATGTTAATGCCAGCATTTTTCAGTTCACGTCGTTTTTGGAGGACTGCAAGTCGTCGCGATTCTTCCAATTGCCGCTCTCTGGCCTTCCGCTTCGCCTTCTTTCCTTGTGTGTTCGCCAAACGAGCGCGAGCTTCACTCAGCATTTCCTTCTCATCTTCATCGAGGTCAATGGTATCAGGACGAGCGGGCTTAGATTCCGGATCGGGGTCCAATTCGCCGGGTCTAGGTACTGTCAGCATATGAAAAAGAAGCTAGCAAAGCGTTCAATATCAAGAGTCGTACCGTAGCCGTCGCACATCGTCAGCACTGGGAGCTGCTGACTCTGCGCCGGGTCCTTCCAAAGCAAGTTCATCGTTCTCACGCGCTTCCGCTTCATCCAGCAATTTCTGATAGCGTTCCAAGCACTGTGTTGCTGTCCGTCCCACGATAGGTGCGATTGTACGCCACTGTGTTGGCATCAACTTGGCCAAATGCAACAGCTTCTCATCCTCCTCCCTCGACCACTCGACCTTGCGGATGCCGGGATCCAGCCATTCCACCCATCGCGCCTTGCACTGCTTTGGTGTCTTTCGTGCTAGCAAGGAAGAAACACGCGCCCACTGGTTGAGACCATACTTCGAGACCTATTATATGTAGCGTTAGTATCGCCAATCGCAGACCAGTCGGCTTTTGGACAGGAGTCAGCTGTAGCATACCGCCGCGCGAAGCACCTCATCCTCAATGTTCGTCCTAGCTACAGTTAGTGAAATGCAACAAAAAGCATGCATAATAGCTATGCACTTACCAGACACCTCCTTTGACGACAGGCATGGCTGGGCAGTTCTGCAGCCGCTGACAGCGACAGATTGATAAAAAACAAAAAGTAGTATAATACAGCGACGAAGCGCAATCAGAGGCGAAATATATTAACGATTTGGACTGCTTGGTCCAGGCTGACCAGAGTCGATAAGGAACCGACGCGGGTGAAAAGCAAGGTCAAGTCCTGAAGCGGCGTTCGTCACTGGCCCGCGATAGGCGCGCAGAACCTTAGCGCGACAACCGCACTAGCGTCGCCCCGCGCATTCTTAGGTAAGCGGGTCCAGAATTTTGGTTGGAATATTCAAAAATTAGTACTCCGAAAAAAGATCAAATATTTACAAGAGTACTGCACACCGATTAAATTCCGGTGGGGTCTCCGAGATGTCTGAAGCCGTCAGTGCACCAAAGCAGTATAAGCAGCCTTCTCGCAAAGGCAAGAAGGCCTGGCGCAAAAATGTCGATATCGATGAGGTTCAGGAAGGCCTTCGGGTTCTGAAAGAAGAAGAGATCAAAGGGTAAGGATTGATGTCACTTTTCTGCCAACGTCGGTCATAACAAGCTAATTATGGTCGCTTTCTCCTAGTGGTCTTCTTTCTGAGAAGCCGTCCGATGAGCTGTTCGTTATCGACACCAAGGGTTCGTCAGAAATCCGTGAAGCGTACAAGAAGAAGCACAAGCCTTTGAAGTCGGAAGAAATCTTGGCGCAACGCTCCGCTATCCCGGGTCTCGACACACGCAAGCGCACGAACTCCAAGGTTACCGATGGTGTTATCGAGCCGAAAAACAAGCGTCAAAAGAGCGACTGGGTTACGAGGAAAGACTGGTTGCGTTTGAAGCAGGTGGCTAAGGAAGGGAACCCGGTCAACAAGCCCGCTGAAAATGACCTTTACGACCCTTGGGGAGATGCAGAGGATCCCACTCCCTTGGACGATCCTCAGTTCGACTTCCTGGAGAAACCGAAGCCCAAGGTAGAGCCGGTTACCTTGAAGCAGGCTCCGATCTCACTCGCCGCAAATGGCAAGCCGGTTCCTGCGGTCCGCAAGCCTACTGCCGGAATCAGTTACAACCCGACGTTCGAGGACTGGGATCGGCTGCTACAGGAGCAGGGAGAGAAGGCCGTCGAAGCTGAGAAGAAGCGTCTGGAGGAAGAGCGTAAAGAAGAGGAAAGGCAGCGCTTAATCGCCGAAGCCCAAGACGATGATGGTATGGTGAAGTCCGATGATGAGAGCGCGTGGGAAGGATTTGAAAGCGAATATGAGAAGCCGGACTGGCTGAATAAGAAGCGTCCGGAGCGGAAGACAAAGGCACAGAGGAACAAGATAAAGAGACGCAAGGAAGCAGAGAGGCAGGCCAGGTGGGAAGAGCAGATGAAGAAGAAGGAAGAGCAGGCCGCAAAGGCTAAGGAGGCCGCCGAACTTGTGGAGGCACAGGAGCTTGCTCGTGCCGAGGAGTCTGAGGACAGCTCTTCGGAAGAGGGTGATGATACCGTTTTGCGTCGGAAACCGCTTGGTGGAAAGCTATAGTAAGTGATCTACTTGTCTGCGTTTGCTTTGAACCCCGCTAATCCAATCAATAGCGCTCCTGAGAAGCCTCTGGAGGTTGTGTTGCCAGACGAGTTGCAGGATTCTCTGCGTCTGCTCAAGCCCGAGGGCAACCTGCTGGACGACCGATTCCGCACTTTGGTTGTCCAAGGAAAGCTGGAGTCTCGCAAGCCGGTGACGCAGGCAAAGAAGGCAAAGAGAGACGTGACAGTGAAGTGGTCTCACAAGGACTTCAAGGTTCCGGGTCTGTAAATATTTACTCTTTTGGCGTTTGCTTGTGTCGGTTCTTTCAAGATAGATTCCACGTAATATGGCTAGTGCTGGACATAGAAAAGTTTGTATGAGCCTCAACTAAATCCATGAACTTTACGACTATAGCCAAATCTCATTGCTACTTGTATTTATACCCACCAAGACCATATATAGACAATGTAAGATAGTCTGTAGAATACACTTTGCATGTTGACCAGCAATATCTACTTCGCAGCGTTCGAGACTTGCAGGTGGGCCCGTCCGAAAATTTAGCGCGGACCGTTAAGGTTGCTTTTGGAAAGTTGCCGGGCCAGTCTCCGCAACGCCTATCTTTTTTCTCCGGCCCCTCTTGGATTCTCAGATCCCTTCACCATGCAATAGTTGGAGGCTCATCACTGGAATGGACTTGAAAAACCTCTCCAGCAATTGGAAGAAACTCCAGGGGACGCTTAAAAAGGACAGCGTCTCCACCACCAAACGGAAACCCTCAGATCGCGAGACGGAGAATGGTGTGGTAAAAAAGCGGAAAAGAGAAACTGTCGACGGACAACAAAAACCTGAGCGCAAACCGGTCTCGGCCAAGAGAAAAAGAATGTCTACAAACGGTACTGATGGCGGCGAGAATGGCACTGAGCAGCCTACAAAGAAGTCGACATATCGGAGGAATTCTACGGTCACTGTTGCGGAATCAAAGTCGAAGATTAATGAAGGCCGTTCACCTACGTGAGTACACATTTGTTTCCGATTTTGCGAAAGTTCTTACTCTGAATAACTCCTAACTTGATATCAGCGCGGAGCTAGGAAAATATGTTGCGATGGATTGCGAAATGGTGGGCGTTGGCCCCAATCCCGATCACGATTCCGCTCTCGCGCGAGTTAGTATCGTCAACTTCAACGGTGAACAAATATACGACTCCTACGTGAGACCCAAAGAGATGGTTACGGACTGGCGGACGCATGTCAGCGGTATCCTTCCGAAGCATATGGTGGAGGCGCGAACACTCGAACAGGTGCAGAAAGACGTTATCAATATCCTCGATGGGCGAATACTCGTGGGACATGCGGTCAGTAACGACTTGGACGCTCTTCTTCTCAGCCACCCCAAGCGCGACATCAGAGACACCAGCAAACATGCCCCATACAGAAAGATTGCTGGCGGTGGCTCCCCTAGGTTGAAGATGTTGGCTTCGGAGTTCCTTGGGTTGGAAATCCAGGATGGCGCGCATTCCAGTGTGGAAGATGCTAGGGCTACGATGCTCCTGTACCGGCGGGACAAGGACACATTCGAGCGGGAACATCTTAAGAAGTGGCCTGTGCGAGTAGTGGTCGAAAAGAAAGACCAAGACGATGATCAGAAGAAGAAGAAAAAGAAGAAGAAGAAGACCCGCAAGAGGTGATTTGGATGCAATGGCTGGTTCTGTTCGATATACCCCAAGTTCATGAAGTTGAAGGTTATCCATAGAGAAGATTAGTAAATAGAATATAGACAAGCATTATACCAAACTACTGAACCTGTAGAAATGTGTCTCGTAACACTGGTCTATCAACTAAGGACATGCCGCAATCAATGACCCCCCGCCAGTTGGTACTAAAGCGGACCGCGGAATAAACCGCCCTTTTCGCGACTACGCGTCGCGTTTGCTCAATTATCCTTGCCGACATCATTCCGAACATCTATAGTACAATTGTCTACTCAACAGAACGAAATACGCAGATTTTCAAACTCTACATTGCTTAGACCGCATTACACGCAATTCCGCTTGACACACTTCAATATGTTCGCCATCCAACCCGCCCAGAACTCTTCCAACGAGACGTCAACCGATAAATTCACTCCGAACATTCTGCCCTGTCGCATCCACCACGATGGCCCCGTTGACACGCTAGGTCGCTACTGGACGCCTACCACTGATGAGAAAGGTATAGACTCATTGCTTCGCGCCCGGCAATTCTCAACAAATGCTCATAGATCACAGATCAGAACCTGCAGACAGCCTACTTCCGCGGCCGCAAGCTAAGGGGTCGCCGAGTCGCAATCCCTGAAGGCTACGAGGGTGAGACCTACTTCAGGACATCAAATCTTGACAGTCCATTGATCTTATTGATTTAGGTGTCATTGCAACCCCCACAGACCGTACGATGCCTGCTACCCGTACGAGCGCCGACGTCGAGGTCGAGGAAGTCACACCAGAAGAGCCCGTGAAGATCCTTGAGAAGCAAGGCACCTTTGACGAATATGTGGTCTGGGGACATGAGTTTGTGCCTGCGGCAGATGAGACTTTCGTTAAGGGAGTGGAGGAGTGGATTAAGCTGGCTGAAGTGGTAGGTCGATATTCTTATAAGGGTTGTCCTCAGGCTAATGCAGTGTAGATGCATACGACTCCTGACAGTGAAAAGCAATCGTCTACTTGAGGGAAGGCTTACAGTGAACAATCTCATTCAAAACGAAGGCACATATTTGTGTCCGCGGGCTGGATGGGTTCCTTGACTAACCCTGTCAACACATGAGCAAAGCCCCCTACTCGATGCGTCCCTATCGCCATACACGAAGTCACACCACCGACCTACTGCAATCAGCCATATATGGACAAGGACTATGCTAGAGCCGTGACATTAGCGGCAGGCTATAGGTGGAAGGGACGTCCAAGCTCCGAGTCGCTTTATGCAGACTGCGATCTTGCCGGAAGGCTACGATTCAAGGACAGGAAATGGAGCACGAGGCTAGCTGCGCATGAACAGAGATACCCAACGGAAGAAGTTTTGTAACCACAACCATCTAGATAGCTGCTAGAGCCAAGCCAATACCACGATCAATCCGATAGAGAATCCATATAGATAAGCCTGACCGCCCTCAAGATTCTGCCGCCAGAACAAATATCTGGGGTAGGGTCAACGCTTTACAACAACTTCTATAGACACCCTAATTTTCAACAGACCCCTCACAATGTCCACTAACGATGCGAAGGTCTCGCCGGAGGCGCTCATCTCGAAATTCGAGGTGAGCAGACTTCTCAAACAAGGCAAGCAACCCTACCACCAGCCAGCCAGCCCCTCCATCACCCCTCCCTGCACATCCAGACAAGACCATTGCAAGCAACATAACTAACCCAAACCCCAAAGACCAAAGTGGCCGCCGCATCGCTATCCTGGGTACCATCGACAACCAGCAAGGCATCCTAATCGCTGAACGCGCCGCCTTTGCAACCGAAACTCCTGAAGCCCTCCAAGCCTTCCACGCCGCCATCACCGACGTCAACAACCTCGGCGATAATGACATCTACCGTTGGTACCTAGCCTCTTCGCACTCCGCACCAGGAAGCCAACAACCCCCGGACCTCAAGATAAACCTCATCTGGCCCTGCACGGAGTCACACATCAAGAAGTACTCGGAGCAGGTTGTGCGCATGGTCACCGAGACACCGGAGATCTACCGGGACTCTATCCGCCCGTACATGAGTGCAAAGCGTGAGGAAGGACGACTGAACTGGGTATTCAATATTCTTGAGGGTCGCACGGAGCAAGAGGATGTGATTCTTCGGGAGAAGGGACCTGATGGAATTGAGGAGGGAGGTTTCTTGGTGTTGCCGGACTTGAACTGGGATCGGAAGACGATGGGGTCGTTGCATTTGTTGGCACTAGTCATGAGGAGGGATATCTGGTCCTTGAGGGATCTGAAGAAGAAGCATATTCCTTGGCTGAAGTATCTGAGGGAGAGGTTGTTGGAGGAGACGGTTAGGGTGTATCCCCAGTTGGAGACGGATCAGTTGAAGCTTTACGTGCATTGTAAGTTCCATTTCTGGTGCTTTGGGACTTGGGGTATCTGGTTACTAATGTGGTTGTGCTGTATAGATCAACCGACGTATTACCATTTCCATGTGCATGTCGTCAATGTCATGCTCGAGGCGGGTGCAACTCAGGCGACAGGAAAGGCGTTCGGGCTGGAGAACATCGTCTCCCAACTGGAGACACTCGATGGAGACGAAGAGGCTGGAATGGCGGATGTCAGCTTGACTTATTTCCTGGGTGAAGTCAGTGAACTCTGGTCGAATGTATTTGGGCCTTTGAAGCGGGGAGAGAAGCCGCTGCCGAATTGATAAAGTATACTAGACCCTAGAAAGTGATGAGTTACGATGCTACAACAATTACTCCCATTGTAAACTCCATAAAACCAAGCATATACATAGGTAGCGCTGTAAGCAAACCCATACTTCCATTGTTGACGTAGATCTAATCTATGAACTACTTACTATATCGGAGCGGCACTAACTTTCCCTCGATCGACCCCGCAACACCACCAACGACGTCAACCCCTCACGGCGCCGCCATCCATCGCAAACTTTCCTACATTTCTCTCACCCCTCACACAGTCAACATTTCCTCTTCTCAACAACAAACCTCACCACTACACACAATCCACACATCCTCAAAATGACCGACACAGCCGATGCCCCCCAAACCAACAAGGCCTTCGTGCCCCTCGGTACCTCCCCTCCCCCTCAACCACCACACCCACACCCAACCCAGCTAACCCAATATACCCAGAAAACAACCCCGAAGTAATGACCCACCTCGTCCGCCAACTTGGCCTCTCCCCCACCCTAGGCTTCACAGACGTCTGGTCAATCGACAGCCCAGACCTCCTCGCCTTCATCCCCCGCCCGTCCTACGCCCTCCTCCTCGTCTTCCCCGTCTCCGCAGCCTACGAAGCAACCCGACGTAGCGAAGACGCGCCTCTCCCCGAATACACGGGCTCCGGGGCCAACGAACCCGTAATGTGGTTCAAGCAAACGATCCGCAACGCGTGCGGACTCATCGGGCTCCTGCACGCCGTATCGAACGGCACGCCGCGGAAGCACATCACCCCCGGCTCGGACCTAGATAGCCTGCTGAAGGAAGCGGAGGGGTTGGGGCCGATCCAGCGCGCGGATCTGCTGTATGAGAGTAAGGCGTTGGAGAGTGCGCATGCGGATGCGGCGAAACTGGGGGATACGGATGCGCCGGCGGCGGAGGACTCGGTGGATTTGCATTTCGTGGCGTTTGTGAAGGGGGAGGATGGCACGCTTTGGGAGTTGGATGGGCGGAGGAAGGGACCGTTGGTTAGGGGGGTGCTTGGGGAGGAGGAGGATGCGTTGAGTGAGAGGGCGTTGCAGTTGGGGGTTAGGAGGTTTTTGGAGGTGGAGAAGGGGAGTGGGAGTGGAGAGGGGGATTTGAGGTTTAGTCTGGTTAGTTTGGGGGAGGTTTTTGATTGAGGTGGATGTATGTGGTTGTTGTATACCCAGTTACCGTATGGTAGTTGATATTGGGGATGGTTGTTGTATGAGTATATCAAGCTCACATTCACATGTCTTTATCTTCTTCCCTATCAATCAATCAACCCACCATTCCTCAGAATTGAACTTCAGAACATCATCCCCACAAGCCCACCACCCAGCAGTCAGATTGCGTGCAAAGACCTCCAAAGCAGCATACGGCACACAACCCCCTGCCTCACCAGAGTTAAAGAACATCCTCTCAAACAGCTCCTTCAAATTCGGCTTCCGAGAATGCACATCCGGAACAGCAGCAATAACCCTTCTCACAATACCCCCATCCCCATGCCCATCCCCACAAGCACTCTGCACTCTACCAATAACAAGAACCTCATACGGCTTCCTCCACAACCCACCCACATCCACAATCGGCCTCCCATCCATCGTAACCTTGCACCAAACCCACTCCTCACAGACCTCAAGCCCAGCACCCCGAATAGCCTCATAGGCTGTTTTCCGCGCCTTCGCGGAATTAGTGATCCAAATGGCTGCTACGGGGCCCTTAGCAACTGCACTAGTGCCGTCTTCTCTGTTGTCGAAGGCATCATACTGTAGATACCCCCGTAAGACACCACATATACGTTCCGTGAGCAGATCCCATCCTTTATAGAACTGCGTTTGATAATGCCCACTGCGCCGCACGGAGCGGTTCGTCCATGGTGGGTCGAGGAGGATTAGATTGAATTTCTGGTCGTGTGGTAGATCCGGGAGTAATGGGTTTGATGAATTGTGGATAGGTTCAGAGATGGGGATGGTGCAGCGGAGGAAGTAGGATGATGGGGGGATGTGGAAGGAGTGGTAGTAGTAGTTTGTGCTGTCATTATCTGATGCTTCTGTTGTTGATGTTGGTTGACAGCGTATCTTCATCGTAGCTGGCTCGATGGAGGTGTTTTTGACCAGGTTGTTGGAAAGCTCTGAGATGGATGCGAAGGTGTTTTCTCCAGGTGATAGAATTAATGGAGGGTCGTTGCGAGTAGTGAGAGTGTTTGAGTAGATAGAGCCAGACTCTGGATTTAGACATGAACATGAACATGTGGTAGTAGTGCTGCGTTGCCGTTTCCTCTTCTTCCCCATTAATTGGATCTCTTCAACCTGAGCTGGATCTTCTGGACTGCCTGGCGCATCGTTGTTTATGAGACTGCGAGGCAAACACCACTCGAATTTATTTTCAGGTGCTCCTTTGAGCTCCGCGAGCTTCTCAACCACCAGCGGCTCGATGATCTCGGAGTGATATTGCCTCTCGGCAAGCGGGATTCTCTCTAGAACCCTTGCCCGCGCGGCCTCGGTCTTGGGCTCTGTCAAGGTTGGATAAGGTTCTCTCAAGGGGGCGGAAGATAAAAGAACCCTTTCTCCATGGTAGGATCCTCGGGTAGAAGAGGCTGGATGGGGTTGTGATGCCGGCGGCGTCTGTCCTGGAAGCGCTTGTGCCTGCGCGATGGAGCTGGGAATATCGATCACAAAGGCGGTGGCACTGGGGTTTTCATGAATTATTGGAGACTTAATGGCCATGGTCAGACCGGGTCAGACCGAGGGATTACTTGGAATAATGTGTGTTCTGACTTAGGGTGGCATTGTGACGGTTCGAAGGTTGGGAGAGGGAAAATGAAATTGATGGAAGGTGAGTTTTAGTGTTTGTGGTATTGGTCTGTATGCTAGGGACACTGGCGGCTTTCTATCGATAGCTACAACGATTATTGCAATATACCCATGGCTTAAACATTGATTACCCCTGTAACTAGTCTCTCGCTGTAAGCTTGTAATGTGTGATTCCAGCCACAACCAGTGGAGCACAGCTCAGTGGCTAATACAGCCAGACTCATCATCATGCAAACGCAGGCCATCGGTTGCATCCGCTTGGCTAGACCATCCACTCCTTGAGTAACCGAATAATAAGAATAAACAATACCATCTGTTCTCATAACCAACAGAATAATAACAAAGAAAAACATATAACTAAGCCACAAGGGGCAGAAATCACTTAAATGCTTATTGACATGACAAAGGCAACACCACTATGCTCTCAAATGGACATAAATTCACAACACTTTTTTCTCATCTCGTTCCTCCTTCCTCCGTTTCCAAGACGATCCAGCGTCGGTCTAGGTGTGACAAGGGTCATTTCGTTATAGCCATACTACTCTCTGTATCCCGGAAATCGAAAAAAAGGGTAAGGGCAAAACTTTATACATCAGGTTGAAGTCAATGGCGAATTAAAGAGTTATAAAAAAGCCTCAATGCTGGAGATCAATCCGCATTAGCGTCGGTCGCCCGGGCAAGCCGTAGGCTCTCACATATGCTGGAGATGACTCACACGGCCACGTCGTCCACCCGCAGACTGTGTCTGAGCTGGCTGCGCTTGGGAATAGAACTGAGTAGGATACTGATACATCTGAGCGGAGTTCGTAACAGGGCTGAATTGCTGGGGGGCAAAAGTCGGTTGGTTCATCATAGGGTTGGAGTTCATCTGGCCAGGACCGCCAGCCAAGGGCACTCCCGGGGTCTGCAGAGCCCGAAGACTGTCAGCCGAAGGTGCTCCAGCCGGGTATCCAAAGCTGGAATTTCCGAGGCTTGGGTATAGTCCCGAGGGAGAGAGGCCCCGGGACTGTGCAGCTAGGTAGGCCTGATACTGCAGTTGTTGCTGGGTCAGAGGCGCCAAGGGCTCCTGGCCGAAGCCGGTACCATTAACACCAACTCCACCAACCCCGTTAAGAGGATTGAGACCACCAGCAGAACCAATGCTGTTCATTCCATTGATACTGTATGGATCAAAAGGAGCGGGGTTGGGCTGCTGCTCGGAGGCAACGGGCCTGGTCGCATCCAGACCTGGGCCTAGCATGGTAGGAAACTGCGCACCATATTGACGTTCCATTGACTGCTGGGAGCCGTAGTTTGACGCCGCCTGCCGGGAGGTTGGGCGATGCTGTTGCTTGTCCGAGTTGGAAACATGATCACGTCCATGATGATTGTCGCGAGCACCTCCCCGAGATGACAAGCCAACTTCGTCCATCAAACGCTTGTAGCCTTGACTGGGAGTTGCCTTCAGCTTAGTGAGAACCTTGGAGACGTTCTTCACCACTTCGGCGCGCATAGACTCATCAAAGAAAGGTGTGGTAAGAACCTTAAAGATCAGTGTCGCGCCCGATGTCTGGTCGCTCAAGATCTTCTCCAGTACCTCGTCGCCCGGGCTGAAAAAGAGAGCCTTCAACACTATCTCACGGGCATCTGGCTCGTTGCGCTGGTTAATCACCTTCAAGACAGTCAGGTAGGCGACCTTGTGGGTGCACAGGTGCACGAGATGAGGGACCAGGCGTGGTGCAAGCACGGTGCGACGGCGGGGGAAAGTGCAGGTATCCAAGAACCATGTCAGCAACAGAGCCCCGTTGGCATTCGTCGCAAGCTGTACGCTGTGGAGAGCAATGGCCGAGGCAAGCATGCGTTGCTGGTCCTTCGAGGCGTGGTGGCTTTCAAGGCATGCTCGCATGGCCCGAGCACCGAAGCGGCCCTGGGCGATCTCCCACATCCGACTGAGCATCGTCTCGAAGATGAAATCATTGAATGGTGCGCCAAAACGCAGGCAGCACTGGAGAACATAGTTGCCGTACTGGTCAAGGAATAACGGAACGGTGTATGGCCTCAGAGCATCAACAATCATCTGCATCTGGTTCGGAGTCTTGGCCACATCAATGATCTTCTGTGCGGCCCAGGTTCCGTTCTTGTGGACACCAATTTCAGCAAGGTGAGGCGCAATGGGTCCGAGCATCTGCTCCTTGGTGGATTCCGAGCAGAACTCGAAGAGCTTCTGGACGACAGTGTTTCCGAGATAATCCGACGCGAGCTCTGCGATTTCCGGCAGCATCGCAACGGCGGTTTCCTCAATCTCCTGGACTGAGCAAGCTCCATTATCGATCCTCTTGCGGATATCACGGAGCCGCGGTGCGTCGAACATCCTAGTTTGGCTGGGCTCGGCGATCGGGGGGATCTCATCTTCAAATGCATCAAAGGCAATTGCGCGATGGATGCTAGCGCTAATATTGTGAGCATCGTCTTCCGTGGCCCCGAACTCGGTGACGATTTGTGCCATTTCCGGCTGCAGCTCGGGAAGAGAAGGTATATGCGGAATGCTGGTGCCGCTCTCCGGTCTCACAATACCATCAGGTCCGTTCATGCTTGGATCAGGAGTCGGAGAAGACTGAGCTCCATTGACACCGGGCGTGCCAGAAGCAGAGGTGCCAGGTACTTTAGCATATCCGATCCGGACAGGGCCAGCGCCGGGGAAGATCTCCTTTCCGTTGAGAAGTGACTTGGCCTGAATGGCACTCTCAATGCGCTCATAGTTGACAAAGCCACAGTTCTTGTGGGTCAGAACGCGAGTAGACTCGATTTTGCCGTACAGGCTGAAGATCGCCTCCAAAGACGTGACCGTGGTGGAGACAGGAATGCTGCCAATCCAGAGAGCACGAGTAGGGCCATCCTGATTGTTCTCGTCTGCCAAGTCTCCCGTTTGCCGCATCCCCACGTTAGGCGCACCACTTCCACCAAGATGCATGAGCTGAACAGCTTCCGACAGCTCATCGTATTCTCCGCCTTCCGCGATGTTGAGGTCAGCGGCGCTAAAGCTGTTCTCGAGACGCGAAGGAGTAGCGAGGTAATTGCGGATTGACGAGCGCTGGGGAGGGGCCTCCAAAATTCCAGCCGTCCTGGCACGAGGTCGGCTGGCAGATGCGTGGTTGGCGAATGCCTGTACAGCAAGGTTGTGCTGATGAATCTGAGCCTGGGTTGCGGCCAACTGGGCTGCTGTTGCAGCCGCAGAAGGAGTAACGGTGCCAGAGGGAAGTTGCGAGTAGCGGCTCTCATACTCCAGGTCCTCGTCATCAGCATACTTCTCTTTCGCGTTCACCGAATACGATCGGATACGGCTGTTATTCTTCATCATGGCCAGTTCCGCCAGCAAAGGGGGCAAAGAAGACTGTTGTTGCTGCTGCTGCTGTTGCTGCTGCTGTTGAAGGAGCATATTAACATCAGGCCGCACAAGCGTAGCTCGTGCCTGTTGCGGTGTCTCCGCCAAGCCCAAGTAGTCTAGCGTTTTCACATCGGTATCCGCAAGCCCGTCCCTTGAGAATGACGACTGGCTGGGAGAGGCAGGTCCTTCAGAAGAGCGAATGCTTGTCAGTGTTGTCGCGCGCTCACGTCCGGTTGCCCAGCTAGTAGAGAACAAGGACGGTCCGAATGGACCAGAAGAACCCAAAAAGTTTGCTCTCTGGGGCATAGAGCCTGCTCGGAGACGCGAAAGAGATCCCGCGCTGCTCCCACCAGGGGCAGTTGCGGTCTTTGCGCCTGTGTCGATACCGGAAACGCCGGATGGGCGGAAAGGGCTAGTTGACGGCGTAGGGCGGGAGGTCTGAGGCATATATGGTTGTTGAAGATTCACCTCATTCAATGCACCGACGGGCGAAAATCTGGAAGGAACAGTCCCAGCTCTTGCTCTCCGGCCAGGGCTATTGATCGAGCCGCTGGAGGTAGGCACCAGATCTGGGAATCCTTCTTGGCTTGGGGACTCCGGGATGTTCTCGCGAAGAGGGGTGGAATGACCGCTAGTCGGCGGGCCCCAGATACTGGGCGAAACGCCTTCCTCTGCCTGGATCTCTCGCGCTCTAATGTAGGGGGGGAAAAAAAAACAGGCATTAGTCTGCGAGAAACGAAATAAGCGCATCGAGATAACTAGGGTGCTTACCGTTTAGAGTACAAGCGAGCCCCAAGTTCATGAGAAGGGGATCCAGCCCCTAGCCTCGCGCTGCCAATTGCGCCTGCGGCTCCATTCAGACCATTCGACGGGCCGAACGGCGACTTGATGGCAGCAGATCCAGAGAGATCACTGGGAGAGCTACGCCCTGTGCTAGTTCCCGACATTGGTTGAGTGGTCGGAATGTAATTGAGGTTCATATGACCATCCGGTCGTGAAACAGGGAGCATTATGAATTATTTCCCTCCACCTCAAACGAAGGCGGACACCGGACACCTTGTGTATGAATACAAGTAATGATATGCAGTTGTCGGATTGGTAAAGATGCTGCTCAATCAGAGGATTGTCTCGCGAGGGTCATGTGTCAGTTCAGTGTGTTGAGAACCAAACGGCGATAATTGAGAGCCGATGCCAATGGGGAGCACCGGAGCAATCAAGGCTGAAACGATTGATCAATGAACGTAAAGTTCGACGCTCGAGGAAGCCAGCGTTCTGTGCGTCCAGCCGGTGTGTGGATGTGCTCGTGGCGGGGTTGACGGAGGACTGGGTCCGAAAGAATACGTAAGCTTGAACAAGCACGGATGCTCAGGAAATAGGAGAGACAGCGAGATCGATGAAGTAGTTGTCAATAGTTGTCCGTTAAGCGTAAGGCCCAGTCAGCTTTGTCACCGTGGGTAGTAAAGATAATCTTTGGACTAGTGGCCAGATTCGATTGCCACGATCCACCGCAGTGATTAGGTCCCGAGTGTTCAAAAATATCGCTAACCCGCAAGGACCCGCTCGAAATGACCGCAAGGACACGAGGAGATTGAATGGGAAAAATGTCGAGCGAGGGGGTGGGAAGAGCGAAAGAAAGGAACGCGGAGGTCGTTGATGTACGGGGGTGGTGGTGGGTGGAAGGGAAGCCGAAAAGGGTCGCTGGACTCTTTTAGGGTGGCTGGAATAAATTGCGCGGCTTCGGGCAGAAGCCAGAAAAAGATACAAGAATGGAAAAGACCGACGATGGGACGATACTAAAAGGGATACTGAATTGAAGGATTACTCAAAAGAGAAGAGATTGGGGAGGGAAAAAGGGAAGGGGAGGTAAAATGGGAGAGTAAGACAGGAAAGGGGTGCATGAAAGGAGGAAGCGTAAGAAGGAAGAATAGATGGCGGTGGATGTTTGGTGAAGAAGGAAGAGAGTAGAGCTGCTGCACCGGCGCGGAGGGAAAAGGTAAAAGGTGGAAAAGAGACTTCGAGTAGAGAGAAGGAGGAAGGCGGTTAGTTTACTCAGTTGGGGAGCTCAGGTTTGCCGGATCCCGGGGGGGCATGTCATATCCACTCGTCTGGTTGGCCGGTCGGGTTCACCCATTCCCTACTTATTTTTTTTTATTACTCGAGAAGTGTGCCTGTGAAGTGCATGAAAATAAAAAAAAATAAAAAATTGTCTTAATTTTCTGACTCTGATGGTCTTTTCTTATATTGGTGAAGGATCCTTCCCTGTTCATCCTTCATCCCCATCTTCATCCCTTGGTGTGCTCGTGCCCACTGCCCAGCTGGCGATCAACCATTATTTCCTGCTGCTTCTGCTCGAACCCCCGGGGGAATCAGAGAGGGTCAGGCCTGTTCGTTCGGTTCATCGATCGATCCCCCTCCTAATTCCGATTTTCGAGAAGCTCCTAAATAGCGCATTTTCCACCCTCAGCCTTCCACAATTCCATGATCGGCTCTCTTCGCAATAGTCTCTTGTCAGCGATAATTGATAATTGTCGGTATACTTCCATAGTGCTTACTACATCGTTCAATATTTCGTCTTATAGATCACGTAGATGTAAATATTGCTCAGTAATAATAATATCTTATGGTCTTGCTCTCACCGAATACTGAGTCGTGTTCCCACCTAATTTCGCTCACTAAATGGGTGTACAATTCTAAAAGGGGAAAGAGATCAGGCCCGGGTGGAGTCGATGCTTTTGGATAGCATCAACAGTTAATGACAGACAGCCTTACAAGACAACTTTTTTGGTTCTGAAATGTTCAATAATTCAGTTTCACTTTGTAAATCACTGTGGATGACAGTTTATTCGGGACTAGTAAGGTCATAGTGCAGAGCGATAAGGTAGACTACAATTTTGAAACCAAGGTGAATCCATATATATTATTGCGGCACCTCTTGTCTACACCCAATCCGGATCAAACCTTCACGCATACGGCAATGAAAAGCGTACCAATGGCCTTTTCGACATCCTTGTCGAAGCTGAAACGGGGGAGGGATGCGACCCAGTTCTAGGTGATTGGCACTCTGAAACGTCCTAAGACCCCGCATTCCACCGTCCGTCATGTGTTTTGACATTGATCACCTCTCTTCTTTCCCCCCTCGATTGTGGCAATGAGTAAGTATGTCTGTCGGATGACCTGCCTTTTCATGATGTTAAATGGATCGGCGCATAGCTGGAAAAGCTGTTCGATCGAATACTCCTTTGCCGGTTTCTTTCCCAAGAGATTTACTGTCAGCTTTACTTATACTCGAACTTAACGGAGCCCCACTCATCTGTCATGATTACGGAATATATATCGGGTACTACGGAGTACTGCAGTAGATACTAAACCTGGAGCAAACATGTCAAATCCCTCTCGTGGGTTCAATGAAATCCATAACGCAAGGGATGAAGACATTCTGTTGTGAAGGGATGGATATTTCAAGTGGAATCATTCAAGATGTGAAGTCATCGGCGGAACTCTTATGCAGGAACGCTGCCTGTAGTCTGTACGACGGAGTACTTCCTAAGTAAACCCTGCCACATCCCTTGAGGATCCGTCATGACATACAGCAAGCTAATCAACCATGGCGGTAAGACAGTTAGTTATGCGGGGGCCAGGCTACAGGCTACTATGGATATGGTTTTCACTTTTCTTATTTCAAGCCAATATTCCTGCAGCTACTGTGACTTACAGGAACTTGTGCAACGCGGTACCTGACCCTGAGTATTCTCGGGTCGGGCTGGATGCTTGCGGTCCCTGCCCGGAAGAGTCGGGATGCCCCTCATGCTATATCGTAACAGGTAGGTTGGATTTCTACGCCCATACAAAATTTCCTGCTACGTGAATTAGGATTATTCCATCTCAATTATTGAGGTGACATCCGGGTTCTGATTTCCATTCATCCAGAGTATATGAATCACGTGACCCCATATATACACCTGAGGCATCTATTTACCACCCGCCACTGCCCTCCGCTGTATCTGTAATGATTTCCGGCACCGCCTTGCCAGAGCTCCGGTGCAACAATTAAGTCTCCAATAATTTGGGCTCAACTCCCTTTTTGCTCCCTTTTGCTCTCCACACATTAGTGGAATTTGTGGATTAACTGTCCTATGTCCTTTCTTTAAAATGAAATAAATGAACAATTTTACCACAAAGTATCACGCTTGGCCGATCTCATACGCGCCCGACCGGACTCGCGTTTTATCGTGATTTTACGGTCGGCTTCCGCTAAACGATTAATGTTCCTTACTTGCCGACTTTGAATCAACAACTGTCCTCACGAAAAATGGCAGATGATCATGAAAGCCCCTCCTCAGTGGAGGAGGCGCCGGTTGAGTCCCTCATTCAGGGGCGTGCGAAGCGAAGCACAGCCGGCCTTCATATGTCAGCCCTCCTGGACGCCGCCGCAGACGATGACCTTGCGCTCTTGTTCGAGGAAGTGGAGGATGACAACGAGTTTGCGATGGATGTGGAGGAAGAAGGGGGCGAAGAGGATGATATGCGCTTTGAGTCTTCCTCGGATGATGAGGATGATCAAGGACCCGAGTCTCGAGCTGACGACATGGAGGGGGAGCAACAGATACAGAAGGAGGAGCGACAAGAGAAGAAGAAAAAGAGAGCTCGAGAAGACCTTCGATTCAAGATAGCCAGCAAGAAGGTTAAAATCGATCCTACTGCTGTGTCTACAGTGCCTGCTCCTCGCCCCAAAAAGAAGTCGGAACGTATCTCATGGATCCCTACGCCGGAGGAAGGGCCCACGCGATCATCCTCTCGTCGCCAGACTATGCAGAACAAGGAACTTACGCATGCACGCCTGAAGGACAGCGAAGAAAAGCGCATCCGTCTCATCGCCACCATGGAGGAAGCAGCTAAAAGGAAGGCCCAGTTCAAACCGAAGGAGATGACGCAAGCCGAGCGTCTTGCAGAAGCAGAAAGGGTGGAGAGGCATAACAGCAAGAGTCTAAATCGATGGGAGGAAATGGAAAAAAGGAAGGCTGAAGAAAGACGTGCGAAAATTGAAGCCCTTCAGAACCGCCGCCTTGAAGGCCCAGTCATGTCGTACTGGAGTGGCATAGCAACCTGGGTTAATGGTCGCTTAACGCGCATTGGCAAAGTTGACGTTACGGCAAAACCTGAGAAGGAGGACACTACACGCAAGAAAAGCAAAAAGACGGACAAAGAAAATAAAAATGTGACAGAGCAAAAACCGACCGAGGATCCCACTGTTGCTGGTTCTGCCACGTCGCAAACAGCCCCTCCTCCCACCCAGAATGAGGGCTCTACGCTACCACAAACACCCGGCGATGCAGAACCTGCAAAGCCGAACCAAGACCTTGAACAGCAGCAAACAAAGTCTGAGCCCACCCAGACCAATGGCGCAATATTCCAAGAGAAACCCGCTGATACACCAGTGGAGGCACCCACTGCTACGCCAAAGGAAGCACCCACCGATACGCGAATGGAGGAACCCACCGATACACCAATGGAGGAATCCACCCCCTCTCATTTGAACACAGAGGCTACTGCTGCTGCCCCTACTCCGGCTGCTGCTGCTGCTGATCCTGTGCAGCCTGCCACAGATGCAGTTAACGACGAGTCGGCTACAGAAGCAGCACCAGACTCTGGTTCATCAAAAATTGAAGATGAAAAGAAAGAGGAAGCCACCGAGACCAAGGCTCCAGATGCAGCTCCGGAGGAGAGCAAGTCAGATGATAAGCCAGATGTACAACAAAAAGATGACGCTGTACACGCAGCCGAAGCTCAACAGCCTACGTCGCAGGAGTCTGGCGAGAAGCCTACGTTAGACTCCGAAAAGCAGCCTGACCAAGATCCACCAACTGCGGCCGCAAAGTCCGATGATGCATCGAAGGAAACAGCTCCTGAACCAACCACAGCCGCTGAACCTGTGTCTGAACCTGCCACGGTGCAGCAGGAGCTATCCCCTACCACAGTACCAGATGCAATTGCCGCCCCTTCGCAGACTAACCCGCAGAAGGAGACGCCCAATCCAGCACAACCGGGCCAGGAGGCTCCGGAGGTGCATACGGACCAGCCAGCTGTTGCGAATGGGGAAACCCCACAACCGCAAGTTCCAGAGGTACCTCAGGTTGTCGAGCAAACAGGACGAACCCTTACGGTATTGGAGAACTTTGATGACAAGACCGCCCAAAGCCGCGAGTTTAGTATCTACTTCAACGCCAAAAAACCTCCTAGGCTAACCAGTATGCAATGCACCTATTCCCCCACTGCATGCACGAACACATTGGACATGCTAACACCGCAAAACAGAAATCTCTTCATCCCTCTGCGTTATTACATCACTACCCTCGCGCTATCGGGATCCCGAAACTTCACTGCCCTTCGCAAACTCACATGCGTACAATGAGATTCGACACACGGTGGCACAAAAGTACAGTTGGAGCCCGATGCTGGGATGCTACGTTGGACCTGTTGGAGTCGCTGCGCGAGGAGTACCAGCGCGGTTCCTCGGCGGTCCCGAAGCAAAAGAGGAAACTAAGGAGAGCGGAAAGAACGACAAAGCCGCTAGCAACGAGGCCACCACCACTAATAGTGACAAGACAGAAAAAGAGAAAGAGAACGAAGCAAAGACTTCCGCCGCGGAGGCACCTGCTCCATCTACATCCGGCCCTTCAGCTGCAGCCGCACCCGCGTCCGCATCAACACCCACACCCACACCCGTTGCGGCTACCGCGGGCGATCCGATGGATGTCGATAAATGATTTCCCTCTCCCATTCCAGGCCTGACCTGGAAAAAGAAGGAGTGGTTGCTATTATGTTGCACCGGCGTGTTCATGTTTCTATGCCCAAGATACCCACTATTACATCTACACCATCAACTCTAATCACACGGCTACAAATATCATACGTAGTATCAAAGACGAACTGTAAAGTAATCAATATGCATGCCGGGGGCAAAGTCAGCTACTAGTAAATAAACCAACTCTCCACCTCCCGAACTTATGCACCATGTACACCATACCGGATCACATCCACATCTCCAACAAGAAAAGGATGAACCAGCGAACGCATTAGTAGCCCCACGGATAAAATACCTCAAAGAAACGAATCCAACCAACCACATCGTACAGTACCTAGCCAAATTCCAAACCAGCCCGAAACGTCCGTGCCAATGGCACGCGACATCCACGAGATGCAGCAGATACTTAAAACAAAGTATTAAATTATTATATGCGAAGTGCCCATTGGCACCCACATCATTCACAGTTCCTTTTCCATCGCAGCTGAACTCTCTCGTCTGCGCTGCGCCATGATGGTCATGTGCAAATAGGAACTGTGGCGACTTTTCGTTTTGGGTTCTCCTACTCCTGTAAATAGGTATGGTGGTTACAAATAGTGTTTCCTCAAGGGGGAAGATACTTGTTTACTGGCTGCTGGGAAGTATCTAAATTAGGGTATAAGTAGGTAATACTAAGGAGTGTAGTAGTGGGTGTGCTACACATGTAAGTACTGAGTTAGATATCTTACAGTGAGACAGGTGGAAATGTGTTGTATGGTTTGTGTTACGGTCTGTATACGAATTAGACAGACAAGATGGAGGAAGTGCTACTTTGGGAGACACATAGGTTAGTACTGTTTAGTTTGCTTTGGGGGTTGAGATGTGTGTTCTCAAACTTAGTTGGTTGTAAGAGGTGATGTGTAAATAACCTGTTCTTCAATGGTAGGGATGGGATGAAGAAAGAAACTTGTCAGGTTCAAGATCTAATGGAGAGAGACGGCTTTTATTCGCTGGTGATTTTGAGTGAGATTAAGCAAGTTGCTAAATTATGTACTGAAAGCTGGATGTATTGAACAGAGCGTGCTAGTACTATACACTCTGCTGCGTCTGTCTTCATCCAATCGTCATCAATACCCAGTGTGTAAGGATCGTTAATCACCCTTAACAAGCAACTTAACGCCTTTACTTCCCTTCCTGGTAGCAGGAATGAACATATCAGTCGCAAACTCGACATCCTTGTTGGACGTTTCAAACAGTTCCAACCTCCCACCTTTCGCACCTGTCTCATTCTCTGCACCGTGATACAGTCTAAACATCCTGGAGACGCAAATATAGAGTTCTGCATAGGCCAGATTGATACCCAAACACGACCTGGAACCCTTTGTGAAGGACACAAGATACCCATTCAGCCTTTTACCCTCCTTTTCGGCTTCGATCCACCGTTCCGGACGAAACTTGCTTGGCTCTGGAAAGATGGCGGGATCATGATGCACAAAAACAGCATTCATGCTCATGGGTGTCCCCGGAGGAATTACCCAGTCCTTTCCACGCTTGTCGTCGTGAAATATCACTGCTTCATCTGGGGATACACGTGCTAGCCGGGCAACAGAGCCATAGGATAGCCGCAGACCTTCCTGAATTACGGCAGTAAGGTAGGGAAGGTGTTCCAAGACCTCGATACCGATGTGTGCCGTAGGATCGGGGATGGAGGCGATTAGTTCGGTACTAAGACGGGATAAAGTATCCGGTTGGCTCAGCAGATAGTATGTGATGACCGATAGTGTCCAAGATGTGGTCTCAGTTCCGCCGGCTACGAGTATTTTGGCTTCCTGGCCAAGCCGTTCGACACTCTTTTCTGAGACTGGAAGATTCGGATTTGCTAGCAGATCATGAAATGTAGTACCCGTTCATCCTCAAGCACGTTTGCAACTCTTTCATGCATTGCAGATCAGCTCCAATTTTTGATGTGTCTATACGCATGCAGGAACACAACATTGATCATACTCACGTTGGACTAATCCATGATACAATCCATGGCGGAATAAGCTGTCCCATATATATGAGCCAGTGATAGTGCTTCATCCAATGTACAACTTTGCTCATAGCAAGAACGGCCTCTTGAGCTGGCTCACCAAAGTCATGTTTTTGCAACCTCTCGCGCGAGTGGCTGAAACTGTACTGCATAATGACGTCTACATCTGTGAGTATATTGGATAAATGGAGGTTTATTATCTTCACCGTTGTACATACCATTGGTAAACGCAGCGTAGGCGATATCCATGCGGACTGGATGACCCGTATTTCTCAATCCATGCAGACGTTCAAGGAGTTTGTCGACCTTTTCCCATATGACAGGCTGCAAACGACGTACACTTGCTTTTGAAAAGAATGGGCTCAGAGCAGAACGACGCATGCGATGTAAATCATGTTCTATAGTAGAAAAGGTACTGTCGGGCGCCCCAAATTGATGTTTGAACTGGGGATTCAAATTTCTCTTCTTCTTGCCGCCGGGTGCATACAGCTCATCATAAAAGGCCGAAGGCTCGATATGAAGCTCTTCGGGGTTGATGCGAACAATGGGCCCCTATACATTGTAGTGTCACTATATATGGCTTTTTATTCACAACGAGGTCATCTTACTCACGTAGCGCTTATGCATATCCTTGACTTTGAAGATATACCGGCCACCACATATTGCATCGTAATAGAACTCATAGCTGAAGCGCGCAGTCAGCTTCATCGTTCCCTCCTACCTTCGCAGGGCCTACTTCGACAATTAGAATTCAGAACTTACAACCAAGTCACAGCTGCCAACGGGGGACCTGGGAAAGACGCGATGGGGCTAAGGTACAGGCGATACACTGCGCAGCCTATTAGATAGGCAAGCAATAAAGTTAGAGTTATAGTAGCCACAGAGGAGGGGCTGAGCTCCTCGAACAAGGCCATTCTGTATTTAATCTTGTCATGAAAGATCGTCGAATCTTTCTTCGTATGCGCAGGTATGGCGATGTGAGAGAATTGAGGAGGAGATGAGATGGCGTGAGGGGTAATGGCCACTAGCAGTAGTCTTAAAAGGTCAGCACCTACTAATGCTACTACTAGTACTACTAGTACTGGCACTCGCGCTGAGCAGCTCCTATGCTTCCTTTTTCGAGGAATATTCCGCACGCGGAAGATGTGTCCTGATGGCCTACAAACGCAACGATGCTGACTGCACCCCGATCTGGGGTGCTTGCTAGCAATGATTAAGGGTGCATGATATCGAATACGCAAAGAAACAATTTCTAAAGCTTGAAGAAGAGGCATTTTGTTGTTATTTCATCTAGTGCTAGATACGAAGGCAGAAGAAGAATGCGAAGCGGAGCAGGGGAAGAAAATGATGCTTGATGTTTCCCGAAGGGGAAGGTGCCCGCCACAAACGAAGTTATGACTGAAGAGCGCATGTTGGACATTCGTTAAAGTCATATACATATGCTTTACAATGCCAAGCAGATATAGTAGAATTTTGCTAGCGATTGCCCTCTATGTTCTCCTAAGAATTAATCTTGTAGCTTTCAGAGGTGGGACAAGATGGTCGAATTACCTACTACACGACTATGATACTTAGTACTTAGTATACCTCAATACCATAACTTTACCCTTATGGTAAACATACAGTAAACTTTTCCATCTACCTTCCTAATAATTTGGGAGAGAGACATGTACAATACACACGGAGTAAGCTTTATCTATATGCCTACCCCTCTTTCGAGTCCGTGGGCTCTAATCAGCCTTCAACGCTAATGAACTTCTTGTCCTTGACTCGATCATGGTTTTAAGTTGCAGGAAGTTGCGGTGTAGAAACCTTGAATAATGGGAGTAGCTACGTTATAAGTCTCTCCATAGTTGTGTCCAGTCAGTCGTTGTTTTTTTTTGATAATAAGAGATAAGGGGGAACGAAGGGTGTCCGCGTGCAAGTAGGATATCTACTACTATTTTCCCTGATACGGTAATCTCACATGTGACGGTGATTAACAAGATGGGGGAGAACGTGTGATAGGCCTTTAAATCGAATGATTCGGTTTAAATCAAGGCAGGGGGCGACGATCGCATGGTGAGAGTATCACTCTACTCCCGTTGAGTTAGTCGGCTTAGTTCGATTCGTATGGATGATGACCCGTGAAACGTGCAGTTGTTGGGTAGAGTAGATAGTACATCATTGTACAGGCTTCGGAGGGGACACAACGCCTGCCCCGCATGTAAGAAGTAACTACGGGGCCATGGAAGCACAAAATGCAACAGGCCAGATTGGACAGACAATTGGACTTGTGATACTCCGTAAACGTGTACGCAACATGGGAAATTACAATCTTTACCTGGATAGTTCTAGACATTCGAAAGAGAAACGTCAGCTAAAAGGACTTGACCTTGAGGGGAGAGAATGGACGATCCTTTTTTGCTCTGTTGATACTAGTCCAGACTCACCGCTATGGTCGAGACACTGAAATGTGGATGTGTGTGCCTATCAGATTATGGAGCCCTAGATCCAGAATATCCAGTTCAAATGATGTGTTGCGGTAAAGCCAAAAAGGGGGACGACCCCTGGAACGAGTGGGTGGGAATCCCCATCCGTCATCGAGTTTAGTAACATCCAATCTCACCGTCGGATGTATAAATATCTGCTAATGGATGAAGAAATTTGATCCACAGGACGATCGAGAACGTGTCAACTTATTTGTTTTCTACAAATGCAGAATGCATTATTCACCAGTCTGTACCAAACCAATTATCTGCCAGATTTCAATAAGTGTTCTCCGGATAATTGGTGTGCACTGTAGTAAATATAGTAGCCTGCGCTGTGGTTGCCAGTCAGTCTGTGACATTGCCCCACTATTATGGACTCCATCCCCAGTTACTAGCATCATAGACTGCTTCGAACGTTGCAAACACTGATGACATTATAGTAAACCTTTGTTTAAACCTCTGCTGCCGTGTGGGACTGCCGAAATATGGATGGAATATTTTTGTTTCGCCTCAGAGAATTGTCTCATCTATTTCTGTCCATCACGGCTTTGCTTCGCCTCATGGCGGTAGCCACCTGAGCAGGCCACTATCGGTTTCGCCGGTTCTTCTTGCTGCTTAGTTCCTCCCCTTCTCCTCTTTTGCCTCTCTCTCGATTACAGGCTAGTTTAAGGAAAAAGTAAAACTACTACTCGAGGCATTTATGGCGTCACACAATATAGGCCATCCCGAAACGACAGAAAGCCATAGAATTGATCCGGGTCGGCATTTCCTTGTTTGCTAGCCAAGGTTAACTGCCTCCCTGGCGTCCAGTTCCGAATCACTGCTTCCGCACTGCGATAGGGCTCACTCATTGGATCTAACGGCGGGTGATCCTGCCGCACAGATCCAATTAAGGGGGGGGGGACGGACACTGCAGAAAAGCACTGAGCTCTGGATGGAGAAACAGTCCATGTGTAAGCCTGTACGTTAAGCATTGGTTGGTCCCCTTGAGTCCGGCCACCAAGGCACTGTCTAGACCAGCAGATGTGGAGCTGGGGTGTTTTACAGCTGACGCTCCGTGTTGACGATGGCTGCCCGATTTGAGGTGACAAACTGGGCTGGTCGGCAGTGATGATCAGACCTCAAGAGCCCCGCGTAGCAGAGATCCAGCCAAGCCAAGACGACGACATGTCATTCGCATGCGACGAATGGTTGAGGGCATGGTAGTGTTCCTTCACCCGATAAGCGTGGTTCGGTCGGTTAAGGGAAAAATAAAATATCGGAATCTCAAGGAAAGCCAAATGAGGATTTGAGGGGCAATGGGAAGGGCTTTTATCGCTCCGGTCTCTGCACAAGATGGACGCGGCAACTAATGGTTACCTTATCGCGATGGGTACCCCGCCTGGACATAAGAGAGACTCCCGAACACTAGTAGAACACCGCAGTACTTACGCACAAGTACCATATAAGAGCAACGAGAGGAAACAACGGATTCGGAGAGGACGAAAAATTCTTTCTTTGTGCTTCGTCTTCCATCCGCTATACACTCCCCACCGGATCCAGAGTGACAGCTAAATATAGCCAGTCAGTCCACAAGGAGAAGCCAAAAAGAGTCGTTCCGGCGGAGCATTGCAACGTTCCCCAGTCATATACTCCGTACGCGGAGTGGATTAGATCATCTATGGGTGGTGAGGTAAGCCGAATTTGTTGTGTGCCTTCCCCATTCAGACGGACGATTGCGCGTTGTGCTGCCTGAGGCAGGCGGCACACGGCAGTCCGGCAGTCTAGAACTCCCTTCCCCAGCCCAATCATGGCGTGACTCAACTGAGTCTCGCCTTCCCTCCCGGGCCTGACGTGCTCAGGCGTCACCCAGGGTGGTCACGGTAACTAGTAATGGGCCGAATGGAGGCACACCTGGGGATGTGAAGAGAAACCAAGGCTAACCTAATCCCCCCATCATGCTCTCCCCATGTAGGTGGAACAAAGTTCTAGAATTTCTGTTGCTTGAATCGATTTTCCGGCTCTGGTTATATCTATCGGGCTGTTCGCTTTCTCTGCCTTTGGTGTTCTTATCGTGAGACGCAAACAGCCTTGACACTTTTCGACTACCACAACAGGAAGACCTTTCGATTACTCTTAGGCTATTCTTATACAATTGATTGACCGTCCCGGCGCCTGTGATCTGGTGCTCCCTTCGGTATCCCTCTTTCAGTATTGCCTAGTTATTCTCCGAGCGATTTTTCTGCTTTCCAGTCCGCTGCACGATACTCTCTCATCACCGCCGGTCAATAATCCCGCTTAGCATTACTTACACCCGCCCTTTTCGGTATCAGGCCCATTGCACGTGCGGTGTACCTTGGAGAAGACGGCACACTGGTTTATAAGAAAGGGGCCAAACCAAGAAGAAAACAAAGAGGGATTTAAATCGCAGAAAGGGGGAAACAGAATACACTGCCATTCCTTTGGTATGTATGTCTCCCTTCCTAGCTATAATTATCCTTTACGATTTTTTTTTTTTCTTTCGTTTGTCGATTACCCGTTTGTCACTTTGTTGTCCCTTATCTCTCCCCACTCAGAGGCCGGTGATAACGGTCCCTCAGCCGTGCCACCAACGTTCTAGTAGTACTACTAGTGAGACTGGTTTCATTTGTGACCTATCTGACCAATTCTGGTACCACAGCAGATACACACAGAGCAGAAAAGAAAAAAGCTTATCGTTGTTACTGTTATTACAAAGAATTTGGCGTTCGCCCGCTACATATTTGCCTCTCATTGCCAGGGTTTTCTCAAAAATAAGAAACCACTCAGGCGTGTATTCCCTTGCCGTTTCAGCTCGATTCATTCGGCACATGCCATTTCGGCTGAACGAGGACTGAGGCATTATTACGAAACTATATCATCCAGTACTACCGTGCGAGGCCATTGGTCCAACCAATTGTGCAGTTGGATCCCTGCTAGACGCAAATCCCTCATACTTTCTGACCCCATAGGGGCAAGCTCTCGTGCTCCACAACTGGCGCGGTTCGGCGCAAGGTACCATCGCCGAATTATTTTCAGATAGATGGTTTTTCTTTTGGACCAGTGTCATATTTATACTTAACCAGATCCTCACCGCCATCCATGACTCAAAGCAATAACCACCATCGCCGCACTTCCTCGGGCTCCAATGTCCCTAAGCTGAGGAACTCTCGGCCGGCTTTACATCGGAGAGGCACATCCTTTGTCAACCACTCCATATCCAAACTAGGCTCTGGACAAATCACCAAGCAGTTGGAGTTGGACGACGACCGGCAGCCCGAGATGGCGGCTAGCTTTCTTAACTTTTGGTATGTGTTATGCTATATCCTAGTATCTTCTGCCCTACCTTCTCCCCAGCATGGTTGCTTTTGCCAATCCTCGCACATCCCCGTTAACCTTGTCGCTTATTCCCCTTGCATATAAAATGATCGCTTATCTTCAGGATCAAAGCTAACCGATCTACAGCGCCATGTGCGAAAAACAGATAACAGTGCCTGACAATTCCCTCTTATATTGTAGCGAAAGGTATGAGACTCCTTATCGCGCCACAGCCTTGACTGCACAGCCTCCACTGCTGGTTTAAATTCCAACCAGTTCCCCCTAGTCCTTCCTTTGTCTCATTGCTATCTCTTTCCTTTCAATAAATTTCTACTGACACATTATCTCTGCAGCTGTCGCCGCAAAGACTCCCACAAACCACTTTCAGCTTCCTTCTCATCAAACTCCTCCATGTCTTCCTCAACAACTCCACCTGCCTCTCCTCCTATGTCTCCTCGAATGATTGTAGCACCCATGACTCCCACGAAAGGTGCCGCCAGATCCTCAATCTCCAGGATACCCAGCGAATGGAATGATGCCAAGACGGATCAGGATCCATCCGAATGGAAGCCAGTGATACCTATGGGATCCGGTGCCAGTTCTCTGGCGTCGTCAGAGGCCTGGAATTACCTCTCCCAGTTTCACCGTGATGACACTATGATGCCGGTCCGGCGCCCTCGGTTTGATCACCGCAGTTCGACCAGCTTGTCGGCACTCTGGAGTGCTACGGGGTCTGTTCCGCCGCTGATGCACACGCCGTCCACAGCTGCATCGTCGGTGAGCAGCAACGGGTCGGACTATATGAGCTATATGCATGACTCGGCCTATCGTCCACTGCCCCCTCGGCACAAGCCCCAGATGTCTGGTTGCCCAAGCGCCTCGAAAGGGCTCGACTTAGTGGTACCTCATGTGCATGTGAGCGTGGAAGATGCCCCCGCCATTAATATCTCCAACGATGGGTCGATCTTCCCCGCCAGTAGTGCGCTATGGGATGAGAAGCCCAGTGAAAAGACGCCCACCCTGAAGACGGCCTTGGGTTCGCCGACCTCTGATATACCTGCCCGTTCCCTGGAGGAGACTCCGTGATCATACCGTCACAATTTTGACGCTTTCCAAGTCGACTGAGTTTACAATTATTAGTCGAAATTGCAAGCGCTCAGATGTTGTGCATGTGGGTCATGGAAAGGGCTAGCCTCAAAGCATTATCTTGGTCTTTCTTTTTCTTCTGGTTTCTGTTGTCAGTCATTTTGGTATATGCAAATATTGAGCGGGAAAAACACAACAGATGCATTAGAGCCAGCATGAGTACTACGAAGCGATGGATGATAGGCGTGGAAACAGCACCTTCCTTTTGGACATTGAGCACATAGCGGATGCTTAAATAGATTCTTAATACCACACGAACTTTGGGCATATGTATAGACGAGCGGGTTTTTCTATATAGAACTGAACAAGACTCGGTTATTTATTGGACCATCTACCTATCAACTTGTGATCTACCACTAGACCGACCATGGGGTAAGGTTATTTAGCTGCTGTCACAGATTAACAGTACTGCCGAGCCACTGCCGAGCGCCCTGTATTGTGAAGTGTGACTGACTAAGCACATACATACAATGATGTATAATGTTATGCATTCAACGAGTGGCAAGTAACAGCCAGCAAAGAGAGGATAATTGCTCGCAGCATCCCATTGCTATACATATATCATACAAAAAGCTTAATTGGCGTATAAGCTACAACATAATGCCTTGCAGGTCATACAAACTAATGACATGCAGTTCACCTACTAAGTAGAGAACGCCTGCTCCCCAACATTCTCTCTGCTCCTGATGTGTACTATAGCTTAGCTTTTGGGCATCATAGCCCGGAGTAAATTCCTGTTCGTGGATGTGCCCCGTTTTAATACAAAATAATTTTCATTTTGCGTTGGATAAATACGCTTACATTCGTTGGACCTCACAACGACAAGATTATGGTGGCAAAGAAGCAAAAGAAGGAGAGGCGATGAAGATGTCAGCCAAGCACTAGACATGATGCGTTTATATAGCTGCAGGGTGTCTGCAACTGGTGCATCTTCTGGTGTGGGTTAACTATCTTTTGAGGACGCAGAAAGCCCATTATCCACTCAGCGATGTTAGGATCTCTAGCCTATCACCAATCTTCTTCATCTCTGGATATCTGCCAATGAACCTGCGTTGAAGAACCCAACTCTTGAGAGGTAAATATTCAGCTCATAGAAGGATGCTTTAGCATTAGAGCATTCTTGGAAACTCAAAAATAGGGGTACAATCTTGCAAGATGAGTTCATCGTAAACTCAGAATCCGCCCTTTTACTGAACCCTGAGATTCCCAAAAGCCTAGGTTAGGCAACTTGAAGCGAACCTCGTATCATAAAGAACTCGTAAGTAGAGCAGATTCATTTGTCAAAGACTAGTAGCAAGTGCAACAGAGCTAACGTACCAAGGTTAGTTTGGTGAGCTTTCCTGGGACGGCAAGCACATTTGCCCTGCCAGCCGGAAATCATTTCCATCCATCCCCCGTCAACTGAATCTTACGAGCGTCCCGTTGTTTCTTTCTTTCCATCTTGTCATCAGCCCCGATGTTCAAATTCTGCATCGAATGAGCATCAGATAACTGACCATCAAGATTTCTTGTCCTTTGCATCTCGTTTATGCATCCATCTCCCCCATCCATCGACTAGGTTCTCTTCAGGGATTCCACCTTCTGCTCTCCCAGCCTCCTACCAGACCTCCCTGTTCGGGCTCCAGGCTGTAATCGGCAGAGAAGAGCTAGGACTTTGATGAGTTCCCTCTTCTCTCGTCAGTACGCGTGGATCGATATGTTCATTATGCCCCATGATATCGCAACCTCGTCTGCCCTGGTGCGCCCAGGAAGAGCCTGATGGAAGTTTACTGCAGATTCGAATGTGGCTTCTATGAGAGGAGAACGCTTCAAAAGCTGTTATTATACCGAACGGCTATCCCTGGCTTATCTGGACACGAGACAGCCTGGACTAATCACTGGCTGTGAAGATGTTTGAAGACGCATACTCTTCTTCCGAAGGCTACAAAATGCCTGGTCAAGAACAAGTGTCTTTCACCAGATATACTCATTACTACCTATGGGATTAGACGCTGTGTTCACCTAACTTTCCGTGTCCAAGTCCATGCTATTATTGAATTCTGGCTAACCTAGCGCTGACGGAGATCCGGAGAGCCCGCAGACCAGATGTGCCAAAATCCCACTTTCCCTTCGAACGACGTACTTCGGCAGAAACAATCACATATGACTTCGACAATACAAAAGATTGGAGATATATTGAATGGCTACATCTGCACCTGTATCACTGTGGGGTCATACGCCGTCAACTTTGAAGGCTGGTTACACAAATTGATCCACTCGGCCGGGTATGTCCCATGGTCGGCGATGACAGGAACAGATGCATGTTTTGCTGCATGTCATCAATGAACAAGATGTATTGTCGGATGAAAATCTAGACATAAAGGACGAGGAATGTACTTGGAAGGGCAATCATGCCACGATAGGCTGAATGTTGGTTTGTCGGTACAAGTCAATAGCAAATTTGCTCAATGCAAACCACGACGTTGCTCAGTGCACAGCCCACCCACTGCATAGCCCAAATACGGCGATCGGTCGAGATTCAGAGCTTCTGTCCTCAGATACAAGGAGGTCATGTTGATGTTAACCCTGGAAATAGCTGAGATCACGGTCCAGCGACCGATAAAGCCTTTAGGTCGGATTAGCACCGGCGGAGGACGTTGCTTGGACACGATAGCAGCGCACTAATTATAATACAATGCCAGCGTTGGGGTCTGAAGAGCTAGGATACAATAAAATGCAGAGAGGATGAGAAGATGTTTGAATGCGTCGCGGGAGCACATCCTCTCTGAAGTGACTAGGGCTGCATTAATGTCGTTCTGTCTGCAGAGACTTGATTGGACCGGCACGGAAACGAAGACCTAAGGTATCTGACAGGACC